TCTGCTTAACCCCCTCTAAAGGGTCCTAACAGACAGAGGGCGACCACTTCTTGACCTGTCATCTACACTAGAGTCTTCATTGCATCGTTTGATGGTACGATAAACGAATCTTTTGGTTATATTCAAATTTTTCAGTATGTCAAAAATTTGAATTGGCGCGTAACCGCAACGATGCAACGCAATAACTGCAACACGGTCTTCTTTAAGCGTCCACTCCATATTTAAAAATGAGTAAAATTCCAAAAAGTATACAGTTTTATTTTCATGAAGAATTCGAAATTCGAATTCAATAAACTTTTTTTGTGGCCAGCATTCTAAAAGAAAAGTTGTTACTGTGTGACAATACTTATGACCTGATTAGTTATATTAGACGTCACGTGAAAAACACATACCGTGAAACGTGTATATATTCGTATCTAGTTTAAATGGTATCATGAGCGATTTAATTGATATAACTGCATGCTTTACTATGTGGCAGGGCACCTTTTCTGCAGAGGGAGTCCGTTTGGGTAGGCACCATCCTATCTCTACCTCTAAGCAACAGTGGGTTTCAGTATGAAAGGTATCCAAAACTAGGAAAGAAAGGTTATCGAGTGGCTGTCTCGAGCTGGCGAGCGCAATTTTATCGGCATCACTACAAATGAACCACATATAACCCTTACAGCTCCGAACTTTATCCAAAATTAAAAAATTAAAAAAGTATTATTAACTAACAATATAATCATGATAAAAGATAGGTGCTAGTTATGACGGGTCGATATTATTTTCCACTGTCGATAAATCCGATAACTTCTGTTGGTAATTAATTACCTAATCATATTGTTACTAGCTCTAAAATTTAAATATTTTCAATGGTCTGAACGCCCGCGCTATTGCAGTCACAAATGGACAGCTGAATTAACGCACTACCTCGATGAAAATAAATGCGCGACTAAATTCCTGATATATTCTCATTTTTCATCTTAATTAGTCTTTTTAAATCAACTGCTGGGCATAGACATTATTTAATACTAGCTGTTCCAAGCGACGCAGAATTTGTAACGATTGGATTTCAAGGGTTTTAATTTGTTTTTCGCGGAACCCTAATTCTTTTACTAAATCAAAAATAGCCTAAGTTACTCCTTATAAAATTGGTCCAGTCGTTTCGGAGATTAGCCGGAACAAACAGACAGACAAAAATTTTAAAAATTATTTTTTCTTGTTATATGTATTGTAAACACTTTCATATTATGCATTTAGTAAAAAGGTGTCATTTTGACATTACGAACAGACACTTCAATCTTATTTATTTGTATAGACTATAGATTCGTCTATAATCATTACATTCTACGTGTAGTGGTGGCGTTAGATAGCCCACTACCCCATATCACGTGATTGTCATAAGAGGCGACAGAAGGAAATTGCAACAGGAGATGGGAAGCAGCAGCTTCGTGGTTAAAAAACTGCAGTTGCCATCCCGCCTGCTAAGCGTGGCAACTATTGCAAATATCCCTTCTATGAGGCAATCTATCGAGCAGACCTATGTTCAACAGTAGACCGTAATGGATGGAAATTGATGAATTAAAACGGATTAATCGTGGTAGCTCAGATGCTTAGCGCATGCTGTAAGTTTCACAGTACGCAAGCAAGCCGGGTTCGATCCCCGAATAATAGCAATTTTAAGTGCTGATTTACCACATGCTCGGCGGTGAAGGAAAACATCGTGAGGAAACCTGCATGACTGACAAATAAGAAACAAAAAATATTTCGAAGACATGTGAAGTTCGCCAACACGCGTTGGGGCAGCGGCGGACATTTCCTTGCCCTAAAACCCTCTCAGCCCTCAGCCAGTGGGACGTATATATGATGTAACTTTTAACTTTAACGAATTACACTAATTAGGAGGATCGTCAACAATTAATATACAAAATGTATCTAAAAAAGAATTATTAAATTTAATAATTAAAATAAAAAAGGTTAAATATTTAAAAGCAATAGCTAACAGTTAAAAATTAAGACTGAAACTTCATTAAACATGTTGTGCTTATCTCGCAGTACCGCAAGAATTTAAAAAGTCACCTAATCAGAATAGTGGTATTAGTTTGTCCTTTAATCCTTTTTTTTTCTTAGATATTAAAGCCAGTGTTTGACCACAATCCCACCTGGTGGTAAGTAGTAATGAACCCCGAAATGGTAAATCGAACTGTCTTGGCGTAAAAAAAGCCTATTCGTTCTTGGCTTATATTATTACTTAAACGATTCCAAAATAAAATTTACATTTTATTTAAAAACAGCAAAGCCTCACGTTTTTCCATCCACCACGAAAGCAGTCAGGTGATTAGTGGAATTATCGTAAACTATTATTACAGTGCTAATAGTGCAATAAAATATCAAACGTTTTTAAATAACGTGCCACACGCGACACCGACAGGTACAGTTATGCCAAAATATATATTAAAAAAATACAACCTTTTTAGTGCTTTTTTTTTTGCGATATGGTTTATTTAAAAGAAGTAAATGGTGACAAACGAGTACACAGTCCACCTGAGAATAAACTAAGTGATGTACAGTCTATGGAACGTCGTTTAAATAAGTTACATTAAATCCTCTATTTTTTCCCTCTTAGACGTAGAAAGTTTTCTTCAATATTCAATATAAACTTATTTTATTGAAGTCGGTTACAAGAACAAATATCGCACTATTCCTGCTTCCTTACTATATAAACCAAATTATATTTACAGTAGGCTGTATATATAAAAAAAACTCTAAACACTTATATATAAATGAATATGGCGTGTATTCTGATAACCGTCGGATCATTATCATTAAATAGCCAGCATGACTCGACAAACTCGTAAACATTTTACAATATAAAACGTCACGATGTTTTGACGAATAATTTGTTTTTGAAAAATATATGCTTTGCGGTTTACAAATTTAGATATATTTAATGATTGTCATGTTAGAGCAATAAGAGTAGTCTCTAAATGGGAATGAGGTGGAACTTTTTTGTTATATAATTTAAAATTTAAAATTTTGTACAGCCGACTTCAATATGAGTTATTAAGAATAACTCAAAAACTATTGGTCTGACCTTGATCAAATTCATATGGGACCACACGACAAGTACCAGCTTTCAAATAAAAAAAGATTAATCCAAATCGGTTCAACCAGTAAAAAGTTATGAGGTAACACATAAAAAAAACATACACTCGAATTGAGTACCGTCTCCTTTTTGGAAGTCGGCAGAAAATGAATGTTCATCGGTTCTAGAGTATTGTTATGTAAATACACAAAACAATTCCGCAATGGTTTGCTCTTTAATTCATTACACATCATTTTTAACTCTATTATAAATTTTTCTACTTTAACGAATATCCGTTTGGTTTCTTTATTTTTAATCTAATTAATATAAAATATAACTAATTATACAGAAACATTAACCTTTACATTTTTTCCTTCATGAAATTTGTAAAATATTTGGCCTCATACATAAGCGGCACCAGCCTGGTGGCAGAAAAAGTCGTGGATGCCCTCATTGTCGAACCGAAATCTTTTTTTTTAATAACGTTAATTACACAGTTGGAATCAAACATCAAATCATAGAACATTTAATTATTTGAGGGTCATATAAATACTTTCGTCGTTTTTAACTTTTTATGCGAACCCAAAATCTGTTGTACCAAGGTGCTGGCTCTGCACTTAGAAAGGTACCGTGCCTGTCAAACGTAGTGACTATTTGCCAATATTTGAACTTAAAGAGTCCGGAAAAAAGAACTAAAGAACAATCTGCGGTTGCCGCAGCTAAGCGTGGTAGCAGAGGCGAACAATCCCTCTATGATGTGATCTATGTCGGAGGCCTATGTTCAGCTACGGTTTCAAATAATCTATTTACATGAGTAGATTAACCTAAATGTGGGCCAGTCGGGCATCGCATGGGTAAAAACAGGATTTTCAATGTTACAATGTTCCCCAGTTTTTCAATGAAACAACCATTTTTCCCCCACTATTTGGCTGATAATATATAAATACTAGAGTGGCCAAGATTTTTTAGGACAATTTAATAATTAATCAAATAAACTGACATGTAAAACAATGTAAGTATATTTAGACACTTCGGCGATCTCTTATCCCAGGACCTCGTTTAGAGACAAGGCGGCATCAGAGGCGACTGAACTAAGTAAACGGCGCAAATATGAGTGTTTGAGAGATGACTACATTTTTTTTGTTCCATTTGGTGTAGAGACCATGGGCTCCACGTGCGGTGAAGTTCCTAAAGGAACTGAATACGCGACTTGTCACCGACGCTACTAACAAGAGAGCCGTTTATTTTTTCGCTCAAAGGGTAAGAATAGCCATTCATCGAGGAAACACAGTCAGCGTTTTTGACACTATACCAAGTTAATATTGCAAGCCTTAAGCGCGAAGCGCGCAGGCATGTTCTGTTAGGGCCTAAAAATTAAGATTCCAACGTTTTGTCACATGAAATCGTATCTAGCAATCATATTTTAAAAGTTTCGTTAAAAAGTTGTTGCAATAGGCCCGATATTTGAGAGTCCTAATTTTTCGTACACGTTTTGTGGTCTACAGATTCCGATAGCAATGTTTTTAAGAGATATCTATGTGTGGTGAGTCGTTGATTAGTAACCTTTTGTTCGTCAGGCATATCTAAATAGGAAATTATATTACAACTTTGGCTCATATTTACAATATTAGATAATATAATACAATTTAACTTAAGTATACACGGAATGATAAAGGGTGGTGATTCTCTTGCGCTAGTCAATAACGGCGTCTAGAATCCAATACCTCATATAATTCCGTGAGTGTCGTAAGAAATAATACAGGAGATGGACAGCGGTTGCCAAGTCCCCTAAAGCTTGCCAATCGAGACAACACATGGCAAATATCTTTTCGCTTCTTTCATACCACAATATCTTCGATCACATGTACGTCGGTTAAGAGTACTCTTAACTAGGTCCACGTTCAATATAAAGCTAATTTGAAAAAAAAAAACTAACCTCATATCCGGCGAGAAGTCGAGCGAGCAGGCGTACCCGGCGACCATGTGTCCCGTGAACGTCTTCTTGCGGTTCAGCTTGAAGCGGTTGAGCGCGCTGAACACCAGCACCTTTTTAAATCGAATGAAATCTGTTCATTTTGTGAACATACGTTAATTTACAGATCTCGATATTTTTTATTTAATATTTATTTCAATAAACAAGTAGTAAAATAAAAAAAATTGTACAACCGACTAAAAAAAGAATCTTCGATTGGTACAACCGACTTCAATATAAATAAAATGAGAACATCATCAATATAGTCGAAGTCAATTAAATACGCATTATATTAAGGATAACTCAAAAAATGCTGGTCTGATCTGGATCAAATTTAAATGGGAACACATGAGAAAAAAAAGGAATGATCAAAATCGGTTCACCTAGAAAAAAGTTCCGAGGTAACACACATTAAAAAAGACAGTCGAATTGAGTACCTCCTTTTTTGAAGTAGGTTAAAATGCCTTAATCTAAAATATTCTACAACAACAGGTACCTGAACTAGTGCATGTGCTAATAGATACACTAACAAATATTTTCTGTTTCCTATATAAAATGAATACCTAACACACCTCTATACGTGGTAGAGCCATGCTGCAGCTATATTAGTAGTATAGTTGTAGCACGAATGGATCGGCTCGACCGGGGAAGGACCACGCTCTCACAGAATACCAGCGTAAAATAGCAGATTAACGCTGGTGTGTTTCGTATGGTGAGGGTAGAGAACCGGTGAGCCCTTTTTACTGGAAAAGAGGCATTCCATCTTAGTCCTCACGGATGACAACGCATCTGCATTTTGACTCGCAAACGAGGATAAATGTAAATGTCTATGGGCCACAGCAACCACTTACCATCAGGTGGCTATAAAAAAAAACAACTAATTAAGAGTTAATTTCGGTAAAATATACTAACATAAATTTATCTAAAACAATCAGCAACTTTTCCGTGGCAAATTTTGTAACAATCTTCCAATTACATTGTACATACTACAATATAAAGGTACTATCGATCCGGCCCGGCTTCGTCACGGGTGAATTTAATCTCGACCACCTACCGAGTCCAAATATGAATCCAAACCATTTAAACACACACAAAAATTCATCAAAATTGGTCGAGTCGTTTTTGAGTTTCAGCGAGACTAACGGACAGCAATGACATCCACGACTTTTTGTGCCACCAGGGCGGCGCCACTTAAAAATGAGGTGTAATATTTGACAGATTTCATAGCAGGGAAGTTAATATGTTCGGTAAATGTAGAGATTAATGTTTCTTTCTGTGTACTATCTGTTATCATCATCATTACAGCCCTTTACAAGTCCGCTGCTGAACATAGGCCTCCCCCAAGGAATGCCACAAAACACGGTCCTTAGCCACCTGCAGCCATCGACTTCCTGCATGTTTTACCAGGTCCTCACTCCATCTAGTGGGTGGTCGCCCTACACTTCGCCTACCGGTACGAAGCTGCCACTCGAGAACCTTTTTTCCCTCTCCATAGCTCGCTGAGGTACCTTGAGCTTCCTCATACAGCCAGTAGTGAATATGTCTCAGATCCATAAGCATAACGCACTGATTGTACAATCTTGTTTTCAAGTTTTGAGGTATACCTGACTTTTTTGGTTGTATGTGATCAATGCAGTTTAATAATATAACATTACCTTGTTGTCCATGGACTGGCAGGCGAGCCACTTGCCGTTGGGAGCCGCGGTGACGGCCGGTAGCGAGTGCATCGACGGCTCCGCGATGTACTTCATGTCCACCGGGATATCCCTGCATCACGGTGAAGAATTTACAATAAGACACATCATCATTTAGGCTTGTAGAAAGAATATCAATGTATATCGATATATTTTTTAATTAGAATAGGGGTGACAAACGAGCACACAGCCCACCTGATGGTAAGTGGATTCTGTGGCCCATAGACATCTACATTTATCCTAGATTAAGAATCAAAATACAGTCACCCCTGAAGACTAAGATAGAATGGCTCGTATCCAGAAATAGACTGTTTATGAAGTATTGATTTTCTTTATAGAATAAGGGTGACAAACGAGCGCACAATCCATCTGATGGTAAGTGGATGCCGTGCTCAGCCCATAGACATTAGACACATACATCAAATCAAAATAAAAAAGCGTTGTCACCCTGAGAACTATGATGGAATGCCTCGTATCCAGTAAACAGAAACCTCCGGTTTCCTACACTCACCGTACAAAACACAGCAACATTGAGCTGCTATTCTGTAATCCTTAACAGCCAACCCATAATCGGTGTATCGATATATCCATTTTTTTCGATACATATATCGATACTCTTTGACGATGTCTATTATTTCGATCTATATATCAATGTAAAATATCAAGTATTTAAAATGTATCAAAACCGATATATTTCCTGCAATTTAAATAACACATTAAAGTTTTGGACAGACAGCCACCATTTCACCCCAGTCCTTTCAGAAATAGCGCAAAAATTTTTAGTACCTACTACATACTCAGTGTCATCAGAACGTGACATCAGCATTTTATCTTAGCGTACTCAATAACAGAAATCGACTTTCAGCAGATCATATAAAAGTTAGAGATTTTTCCTGTTTTCTTTTTCGGATAAGTATTGGTTTGCAAAAATGTATTTAATTGTAAATTCTCTAATCAGTAACCATAAAATGGCCGATATTCTATTCCATTCGATAAAAAGCATACTTTTTATTAATGTTTTATTAATTTGTGATTTTATTTACTGTCACTTGATAATTAGAAATCTAGTTTGGTATTTATATGAATATTAACGATGACAGATTTAGTAATAACAAACACATCAGAAATTCGTAAGGTACAAATATTATTTACAATTCTATATTAAATACAGAATTTCCACCGATATATCGATTTATCGATGTTTTTTTTCGTTATATCGAATTTGATACCAATATTTTCTTAAAACATCGATACGATATATATCGATACTTTTTGGCACTTCCTGCATCTCTATTATCATAACAGCCCGTCACAAGTCCACTGCTGAAAATAGTACTCTCCCAAGGAATGCCACAAAGCAAGGCATCCGTCGTTGCCACAGTTAGCACGCTTGGCAAGCGGGTTGGCAGCCGCAGTTTTTTATTGTAATTTTACTGTTATCAGAAGGATGTTGCTACCCATTTCCTGTTTCAGTTTCCCTCTGTCAACTTTTACGACACCCACGGGATGATATTGGGTAGTGGATATTCGTACACCACCACTACACGGTGTTATATAATAAGACACACTAGGCATATATAACATCACTGAAGAGAGCATCGGCTATTAAACATCTGATAAAAAAGTATATGTTTTATTATGAAAATAAATAGAAGGATGTTACTAGTCAACCAAAATTGAATCTCTCACTATTACAAAAGCATTTAATGCATTTAAATTTGATTGATTGTGGTTTTTATTTTAAAAAATTTTTTAAAAGTATTTTTTTTAAATTACTAATGGTAAATATAAAATTTTAATATAGCAATTCGAAAATTTTCATATGCTATTCAATATACGTAGTTTTTTTTTTTCATATTTCATATTGCTCGTATTTTCATTCATAACTATGCAAATCGGTAGTCAAAAGGAAACAGTAACTTAGATTATAAATATAAAAAAAAAAAAAATATAGGTGTATAATAGGGATTTCGCTATTAAAAAGTCAAGGAAACAGTATTTCAGCCAATAAAGTACACCTCAACAATTGTAACTATTTTACTTCAAATAAAAACCAATATAAAATGAAACACTAGGGCACCATTTGCTATAAAAACCTAGGGCACCAAAAAGTTAAATCCGACGCTGCTGGTCTACCATTTTGTATATTATGCTACAGTGCTCACGTTATCAACCGAGTCGTCGGGCAATAAATCATTGTAATCCGTCTATCTCGCTCGCACTCGTTAGGTGTATGGAGTAGGGTTGCCACATTTTCTTACGTGATTTTTGCCAAAAGAGACGTAAAAATATAGTACTTTTGGGAAATTCAGGAAAAAAAGTCCACATTTATTTTCAATCTTTATACACTTTTCTCATATAAATTTGTTATTGCTCTTCAGCCTTTTTTATATAGGATAGGGTGACAAACGAGCTCACAGTCCACCTGATTGTAAGTGGTTGCTGTGACCCATAGATATCTACACCTATCCTCAATAAAAAATCAAAATGCAGATGCGTTGTCACCCGTGAGGACTAAGATGGAATGCCTCTTTCCCAGTAAAAAGGGTCTCCGGTTTTCTACACTTGGCATACGAAACACAGCAGTGTTAAGCTAATATTTTACGATGGTATTCTGTGAGAGCGTGGTCCTTCCCCGGTCGAGCCGACTCATTCGTGCTACAACTATACTACTAGTTAAGCTGCAGCATAGCTATACCACGTAAGAAAAAAAAAATTATAGGAATCTGAGCAATTTAGATTCATATTAAAACAAATTAACAATTCATTTTTAATTAAATTTACTATCTATTATTTCTTCTTTCCATTTAACATTCATGACGGAATTTTTTTTTTTCTGTAAAACTTACTTGTTCCAGACTTCCATTCACAGTTAATATAAAAAAAATCGCGACATTTGGTATTAGGGGAAAAAATAAAGAGAAGAGAACCAGAATATATAGTACAATTGACTGAAATATAGTACGATACTATATATTATAGTACGCGTGGCAACCCTAGTATAGAGCGTCATTATGGTGTGTATAACAGCAGGATATGCATATCAATTACAAGTGTACAGTCTGGAAGAATAAAGAATGGGATTAGTAATGGCGGCTCATTGAGCCGGTACCGTCAACATGCACAGTACCAATAGCGAAAACCTGCTAATACCGGTGTATCGTTATAACGTTATATTATTCGGTTAATTGGAAATTTTCTATTAATATTTGAAATAATTGGGAAAATATTTGAAAAGAATTGTATACGCAAGTAAGTACATTAATTTTAAAATAACATTTATAAGTAGCCACCCGCTCTGACTTTGCCTAAGTGGGATCTATTAATGTAGCTTTATTTAGACCATTTTTGACCATTTATTTCAACTTGTCAATATTTCTTATTCAATCTTCTTCTTTTCTTTTAATCCTTCTTATCAATATTCTTTATGGTTCATTGCACTTTGTTATCATTGATTCCAGTGACAAGTTGGTACTGAAGTTATAGGATGTACGAAAAACGCATATCGCAACGTATTGTTTTGTAGTCTTTACCGGCGGTTGTGAGTATAGATAGTGACAGTATGCGAGCGAGAGGTGAATAGGGAGGCGCCATTTTTCGATCCCATTCTTCAACCACACGGGTAGTATATAACATTCACAGATTGAGTCATGCTTCTTATTTTGAATTAATTTGGAGTAAGAATAATATCCAATCAATATAATACAATCAGAAATTATTCAAGTAATTAAGAACGTAAGTAAGACAACAAACAAATACCGCCCCCCACCGGAAGCTATTCAAACTTTTCTCATAGTCGCCTCTTACGTCACCTACTTGAAAATGGTGTAATGGATTTTTTATGCTGCCACTACACGACAAATCTAAACCATTATTACCAAAGGTTAGTAAACATAGGCTAGTATACATGGGCGCTGTAGCGTTAATACATTGAAGTTACGCTCACTGAGGTCATCCACGACTTTTTCTGCTACCAGGGCGGCGCCACTTTCGCATGAGGTCAAATATTTTACAGATTTCATAGCGAGGAAGTTAATTTATTGGAAAAAGTAAGGGTTAATGTTACTTTCTATAACATTAGTTATATTTTATATTAATTAAATTAGAAACGAACGAATAAACAAAACTACGGATATTGAAAAAATGTAAAAAAAAAATGAAACAGCAGACCACGTATTCATTTTGTGTATTAATATAATATTCTAGAACCCGATAAACATTTATTTAAAACAACTTCTCGATTCAAGGGCAATGTGTAACACGAAATGCGACATCTGGTGAGCAAAAGAATACTACCCCTCACCGAAACTCCTTTAGTTGACTGCAAGCGGGCGAGAACACCAGTTTTTTGTTTTGTAAACCGCGAACCTTATTTTCTACAAACACTGATTTTGTTTAATGTGACTGTAAGAACGCTTTCATTATTTATATACGCACTTAATCAACGTGATTTTAAGTTTTTTTTTTTTTAGATATTATGTACATAACTTTATTTCGTATTTGCTTAGAAACGAACTGTCGTAAATGAGAAAACAACTATGAGGAATTACCGTGCCAACTACTCAAAAGTCAGTTATACAAAGCTGTGACAGAGTTTTTATTCTGAATTGAAGTCTTTGACTGTTACAGCAAAATAATTAAAACCTTGCTTTTAAAATTGACTAGTCAATGTAATTTCCCAGCCTCGCCCACAATCATTGATTCTCAGTACTATATATAGCAACAAATATCTCACCACTCCCAAACCCTGAGACTCTTGTCGTCTGACGTTGTCACGAATCTCCTGTTCTCATCGACAAAGGTGATCGTGTTGACCGCCCCCAAATGCCTGTCGTACTCCTGCACGATCTCACCACTCCTCACGTCCCACTGCGAAACAACCAGAAACATCTCAATGCGTGTAAACAAAGGTTAAAAAACATACTATGGAAATAAAAGACCATAGTAGCTTAGGACCACCGCATGTAGTGATGGTGTAAGAATATCCACTATCCCATATCGTTCTGTGGGTGTCGTAAGAGACGACAGAGGGAAACAAACAGGAGATCGGCAGCAGCGTCTTCTCAAAAACAGCTAATAAAAAACAAAAACTGCGTTTGCCAACCCGCCCGCCAATTGTAGCAACTAGGGCAAATATGCCCTGTCAAAAAACTTTTTTACCGATTTCAAAAAAGGAAGAGGTACTCAATTCGACTGGTTTTTTTTATGTGTGTTACCTCAGAACTTTTTTCTAAGTGAACCAATTTTGATGATTATTTTTCTTTTTATGAAAGCTGGTGCTTCTCATGTGGTCCCACATAAATTATGCGTATTTAATTGACTTCGACTACATTGATGATGTTCTCATTTTATCTCTATTGAACAGTTGTACAATTTTATTTTTATTTTAGCACTTTTTATTACGTGGTATTTACGCTGCAGCTTTACACAGCTGCAACACGGAACGGCTTGACTTGACTGGGGACTGGATAATTCTAGGTCTATGAAAGTAACAGTCTAAATACTAATTGCCTTTTCTATTTTTTAAATAATCATTGGAAGAGGTGTGTCGCTAATTCATTCTAATTAATATCTATATATTTATCAAATTAGAGTGACGAAATAACTTATAGACTTATGGTAAGTGACTACTGAGGCCCATGGACACCTACCACCAACTTTAAACAAAGGCCACAGATGTGTTGTTTCCGTTGAGGATTAATATAGAATGTCTCACAGTCTGTAATACTGAACTCAGCACATACAGACTGGAACACAGCACATTGCTATCTCTGATAATATCCAAATCATCTGGATGATTGGCGGACGACCACTGTTTGATTTATTTGAAGACTTCTTCCTCACACAACCTCTTTGTGAAATCAATTATCACTAGCGATTTTTCCGAATCGATACGATTTAGGGACTTTTAATTAAAAAGCCTACCCTATTTTAAAAGGCCGGTAATGCACCTGCAATTCCCCTGGTGTTGCATTTGTTCCTGGACGGCTGTCGACATTTAGCATCAGGTGAGTTGCAGGTTCGTTTGCCATTTCTTATTTATAAAAAAAAACATCAGTGCTGGCACCTTTCTGAGCTGAGTCGTAGGCAGATAAGAAATTCTACCACTTAGAAAGAGAAGTTAGAGAGCAAGTAATGTTTCAACAGAATAACGTTAAGAAGAGGACGAGGCGCTGGAGCGTGGGTAGGTGAGCAAGTGACTCACGCAGACGATCTTCTTGTCGGAGGTGCCGGCCACGAACAGGTGCTGCTTGTCGTGGTCCGGGTGGAACTTGACGCAGTAGGCCACCTTGCGCGACGTGAAGCGCGACACGCACGACCCGCTCTCCGTGTCCCACAGCTTTATGTAGCGGTCGTACGCTGCACACACAAAAACAATCTCATATTCTAATTCAAAATATTTACTGTTTTTTTATAGACCACGAGTGACAAACAAGCGCACCATCCACCTGATGGTAAGTGGATGCTGTGACCCATTGACATATACATCTATCCTCGGTTAAGAATCCTTTTTGTTATCACCCCTTAAGACTTAGATGGAATGCCTCGTTTCCAGTAAAATGGTCAGCGGTTCACTACACTCGCCATACGAAACACGGGAACATTAAACTGCTATTTTACACAGATATTCTGTGAGACCGTGACCCTTCCTGTCACCCCCGGTCGGGCCGACCCATTCACACTTCAACTATAATATAACTGCAGCATGGTTTTACCACGCAAAATTTGCCTTAATCATCACGCTTAGCAGATGGATGGACGTTCTCATTACCAGACGTAGGACCACGCTCTCACTTCTGTGATTATTACAGTGGTGGTCCGCCAATCATCTAAATGGTGTGGATGGTATTCTTACCAGCGTAATAGTAGCTTAATTCTGCTGTGTTAACCAATCTCTGGCCTTTCACTGAAAACGAGCCATCCCATCTTAGTCTAGAATCTTAAATTCTTAATGGAAGATATATGTAGATGTCTATGGCCATCAACATCCACTTACCATGAGGTAGACTATGTGCTCGTTTGTCAGTATCTATACTAATATAATAAAACAGAAGATTTTTTTTCACTTGTTTAAACATGCTAATCTCTGGAACTATCAGTCCGATTTCAAAAATTAATTTTCTATATGATAGCCAGATTCATGAGAAATAGTGTTGCGCGCCACTATTAATGTCTTGTACATGGCAACACTAGTTACACTAGCGCCCTCTAGTGCCGAGTAGCAGAACTAGGAGAGTCAAGATCCTTCCAGAAATTTCGGGACCGATATGTACTCGAACATTCTAGATGTCGCTACAGTAGAAGATCCTGGAAACTATATAAGGCCGGTATAGACCACGACCGAGGCAGTATTGAATTGGCAATACAAGAGAATACTTCGAAGCGAAATAATGGCGAACTGTGTTTTATTATTAGTGCGATTTTAGATTGTAATTAGTGTTGTGTAATTAAAGTGTCAATTTTGGTAATTCAATCGGCAGTTTTTAATTGTCTCGAACCCCAAGCTCGCAACAATATTATAGACTATCTAGCATTAGGTTACACTTCTCAGTTAACGTTAAATATTGAAAGAAAAAAGAAGAAAAAACGCCGAGAATGATTCATCCGCTTGCGCTGGCGTTATGTTTAGTGATACGTAAATACAATGTTTTACAAAAATGTAGATCTTCCCTCCAGCTAAACAAAAATTCGAGATACCATATGCCTATTTCTTATACATAAGCAACAATAAAGTATTTTCTGACAAAAAAATAATTGAAAATCAATAACTAACTTATGAGCGTTATTATTAGGCATGGCATATTAATCCTTACGAACAAAAGTAACTTCAACATCAAGACAATTTTATGAAGATAAACTTTGTTTTTATAGCATGTTATTTGGGCGCAGAAAATTTTAAATAATTCAACACTCGGCTCGGCGCGCGATCGATGGCAGTGAACACTTCTTATACGAGTTGTCATGTCGCGCGACTTAGACGCGTGATATACGCGAGTGAAACCGTGGGGCACAGCTAGTTCCTCTATAAAAAATATCATTTCCGATAGTCACCTTTCTCGAAACCCACGTGATGAAATTAAGTGATGTATTCTCTTTACACCACTTCTATATGGTAAATTCTCATTAAATACGTAGAACAAAGTTCACGCATTGCAACACGTGCCTTCACCTTCGTTTCACGTATGTAAAGTGATAGAATTTTATTTCTTAATAATACGTCACAAATTTTAACCCAAAATGTAGGCTCGACGCAGTGGCTAAGCGCTTGACAGTGGCGCTGCGGGGCGGCAAGTTCAAATATCGCTTTCAAATAATTGTTCTGGGTATAGATGTTTGACGAAGCGCGATATATGTATAACATTTTTTTTATGAAAAGAATTAGCTTTTAACTGATTTTAGAATAGTAGAAATATATAAATAGTAATATAGAATAGTCGTCACCACCTACCCATTTTTGCGTAAATAAAAACATGCGTGAGTGTCGTGGAACACTCTGTTGGAGCAAAGTTCCTTTCCTAGTATATTATTATTGATAAACATATTGTTGCGCGCCACTATTAATGTCTTGTACATGGCAACACTAGTTACACTAGCGCCCCCTAGTGTCGAGTAAATGAAAGTATTGCGTGCCACTATTAATGTCTTGTACATGGCAACATTAGGTACACTAGCGCCCTCTAGTGTCGAGTAGTAGAACTAGGAGAGTCAAGATCCTTCCAGAAATTTCGGGACCGATATGTACTCGAACATTCGAGATGTCGCTACAGTAGAAGATTCTGGAAACTATCTGAGGCCCTATATAAGGCCGGTATAGACCACGACCGAGGCAGTATTGAATTGGCGATACAAGAGAATGCTTCGAAGCGAAATAACGGCGAACTGTGTTTTATTATTAGTGTGATTTTAGATTGTAATTAGTGTTGTGTAATTAAAGTGTCAATTTTGGTAATTCAATCGGCAGTTTTTAATTGTCTCGAACCCCAAGCTCGTAACAATTGGTGTCAGAAGTGGGATCAAATATGCCGATTTTACCTAAAGACGACACCGAGGGTATCCGTACCCGAAGTCAACGCCAACAGGAGACGGACCAGAGACGATTTGGTGGTGCAACGTCACAGACGTCGGCAGGCCAGTTGCCGACCACGGAGTCCGGCCCGTCAGCAGCTCCTGCATCTGCAGCACCTGACTTAGGTACTCTGATGATGATGCTGCAGGAACAAGCTCGCCGACAGGAGGAACAGGCCCGCCGACAGGAGGAACAGGCTTGTCGGTTGGAAGAGCAGCTGCAGCGCGGACAGGAGGAACAAGCCCGCCAACAGGAGGAACAGGGCCGTCGGTTGGAAGAGCAGCTCAAACGCGATAAGGAAGAGCAGATACTTCTCATGAAGGACCTTCACGCTACCTTCGGGAAAGAAATAAGTGAGGTGAAGGATAAGGTTGCTCAATATGACAACCGCCTGTCAGATGCTGAAACCCGAATCGACCAAGTGTACAATCGGGTTGACAATGTGATGGCTGACGTGAAGAAAACGCTGAACGACCTCAAAATTGGGGATGGAGTTACAGCTTCCGTGGTAGCTACAACACCTTCGCTACGTGGATTCAAAGTGCCACCGTTCGATGGGACTTCTTCCTGGTCGGCCTACAAAATCCAGTTCGAGGCTGTCATGAAAGCGAACGGCTGGAATAAAAGTCAGGCCATGACTGCTCTCACCCTAGGCCTGCGCGACCAGGCCTTAACTGTTCTGGAAGCTCTCGGTAAGGAAGTGACTTACGAGCAGCTCCTTGAGGCATTGGAGGCGAGATATGGCGACGCTCACCTGGAACACGTCTTTCGTGCGCAGCTCAAAGATCGCGTGCAACGCAGTAACGAAAACCTGCAGCAGTGGGCCCTTGAGGTGGAGAAGCTGGTTCGAAAAGCGTACCAGTCTGTACCTGCGCTTATTGTAGGGAACCTGGTGCAGACATTCATCGACGGCATCCGCGACCTTGAAGTCAGAGCTGCTGTGAGGCTCGGGCACCACGAGACGCTTAAGGACGCCTTGACCCATGCACTGGAGGTGGAAGCCGTGCGGCAGGATCATCGTTCCCACCGCGTCATGGAGGTTGCAGCAGCTACAGTTCAGGACCGCAATAAAAGCTACAGCCCTAGGTGCTACGGCTGTGGGGAAAGGGGCCATCTTCGCTCCAGCTGCCCTAAGCGAACTGTAGAAAGGGAAGGTGATCGATCTCGAGAGGGTAGTGCGGCTAATAGCACCGCCCAGCAGCAGCAGGGATACGAGTAAAAGCCAGGACTGCGGGGCGGGTGCTGGCTGATTTTAAAAGAGCCCCAAGGATTTCGATCTCACAAACCCATGATGGGAACAGCCTAATCATCAAGGGCGAAGTCAACGGAACGCCATGTAAACTGACCATAGACACTGGAGCCTCTCGCACGGTTGTCAGTTCCCAACTTATAAGTCGGTTCCTTGGGGACTCCGCATACAACCGAGAACGCATTAATTTGGTGACAGCCACTGGTCAGCCCATACCCGTTCGTGAAGAGAAGGAGATGGAGTTGAAGCTAGGCAACATGATCTACCTGCATAATGTCATCGTGGCTGATATAATGGACGACTGCATCCTGGGCCTAGACTTTATGAGGAAGAATTGTTGTGAGATCGACGTTAAGCAAGGTGTTTTGAAATGTGGACAAGAGGAACTTTTCATGGAAGGGGCGTTACCAGGGAATGTGTACAGCCTTAAGAAGATTGTTCTTCCGCCGAGATCGGAAACGATTGTGCCGGTTAGTCTTCCTCGGAGTCCTGGGCAAGCTCATCGTTGTGTACTCGTGGAAAGGGTAGACAATGACCTTCCATGGAAAGTGGCTCGAACCTTGGTCAGAACAACCGACATCTCAGGAGTACGTGTGATGAACCTTTGTGATCAGGAACAGATTATAGAAAAAGGCACATTGGTCGGTACTAGTGAGGAAGTGGATTGGTTGCGTCGGTGCGAATATCTATCGACCGGGACCCCTAGCAAGGATGGACAAACGAGAGTGACCACACTTTTAGAAGACTGTCGCAGCGTTCTCTCCCCGAATGAAATGGTCAAGGCGAAGAAGTTGTTACTCAAGTACGCCAATGTTTTCTCGTCAAACGAAGCTGACATAGGAAAGACTGGCTTAGTTCAACACAAAATAAACACAGGACAAGAATTGCCTATTCGTCAGCGGCCAAGAAGATTGCCTGTAGCACGTGAAAAGGAAGTGGAAACCATGATTGAGGGTATGGTGAAGGATGGTGTTATTGAACCTTCATCTAGTCCATGGTGTTCACCTGTGGTGCTGGTAAAGAAGAAGGACGGCAGCATGCGGTTTTGTGTTGACTACCGCCGCCTGAACGACGTTAGGAAGAAGGACAGCTATCCCTTGCCTAGAATTGATGACACGCTGGACATGCTCACAGGCGTAAAGTGGTTTAGTACGCTGGACCTGAAAAGTGGCTACTGGCAGGTTGAAATTGACCCTAAGGACAAGGAGAAAACTGCATTCTCCACAGGAAAGGGTCTGTGGCAATTTAAAGTCATGCCGTTTGGATTGTGCAATGCTCCAGCAACGTTTGAAAGATTGATGGAGCTTGTACTTACCGGGCTAATTGGAGATGCCTGTCTGGTCTATTTGGATGACATCATCATCGTAGGCCGTACGTTTGAGGAACACCTTCAAAACCTGGAACGCGTGCTCATGAAGATCCAGAGCCAACCTCAAGTTGAGTCCAAAGAAGTGCTCACTATTCAAACGGCAAGTTAGTTTTTTGGGGTATGTAGTGTCGGAAAAAGGTATCCGCACGGATCCAGAAAAAATTGCCGCTGTCAAGGAGTGGCCGGTTCCAAAAGACAAGACACAGGTTAGAGCATTTTTGGGTTTGTGCTCTTATTATCGGCGATTTGTGAAGAACTTTGCAGATATAGCCAAACCTCTGCACAAGCTAACCGAGGAGAAGCGACAATTCTGCTGGGATGAAAGTTGCGATATTGCATTCCAGGAGCTCAAGAACCGTCTGTGCAAAACACCTATTTTGGGGTACCCTGATGCGGGCAAGGAATTCATAGTTGACACAGACGCAAGTGATATAGGACTTGGCGGCGTGTTGTCTCAACGGAATGGTGATCAAGAGATTGTGATAGCGTACTTCAGCAAGTCGTTGTCAAAGCCGGAAAGGAACTATTGTGTCACAAGACGGGAATTGCTTGCTGTGGTAAAGTCCTTGCAGCATTTTAGCAAATATCTTCTAGGGCGGAAATTCCACTTACGAACTGACCATGCTGCACTCAAATGGCTATTGCAGTTCAAAAATCCGGAAGGACAAGTTGCGAGATGGATTGAACTACTGCAGGAATACGACTTTGTGATCGAACATCGCAGCGGGAAATCTCATGGCAATGCAGATGCATTGTCAAGAAGGCCTTGCCCTGAAGATTGCAAGCATTACTAGGCAAGAGGGTAAGGAAGTGGTATCTGTGAGAATGCTCAGGACAGACCAGCTCAGCAATGAGTGGAAGGACAGCCTACAACATGCACAGCAGGAACATTAAGCCGATTCTGGAATGGATGAAGGCCAGTGCTCCTAAGCCCAAGTGGAGCGACGTCTCAGCAATGAGTTCGACCACGAAAAGCTATTGGGCCCAATGGGACAGCTTGCTGATTCAGGATGGAGTCCTGTGCCGTAAATGGGAAAATGGTCGGGGAGACAGATGTCATTTGCAAATGGTTGTCCCTAAGGCTAAAGTACCGGATGTTCTACAACTGTACCATAGTAGTTCTTCAGGAGGCCACCTGGGAGTTAAACGAACTCTCCTGAAGATCCGAGAACGGTTTTACTGGGTCCACTGTCGTGACGATGTCGAGGACTGGTGCCGCAAATGTACAAGTTGTGCGGCTGTAAAGGGACTTCAAATTCGTAGTAGAGGCGCATTGAAATTGTACAATGTTGGTGCACCATGGGAGAGGATAGCCATTGACGTTGCGGGGCCGTTTCCGGAAAGTGAAAGTGGTAACAAGTATTTCATGGTTGTGATAGATTACTTCACTAAGTGGCCAGAAGTCTTCGCCATTCCAAATCAAGAAGCTTCAACAGTTGCAGATAAACTAGTTCATGAAGTCTTCTGTCGTTTTGGAGTACCCTTAGAGATTCACAGCGATCAAGGAAGGAATTTCGAGTCTCAAATATTCCAGGAAACTTGCAGAGTTATGGGTACTCATAAAACACGAACAACTTCTTACCACCCACAATCTGATGGAATGGTAGAACGATTTAATCAGACATTGGAAAGGTACCTGGCAAAAGTTGTGGAAAAACGGCAACGAGACTGGGACAGGCACATACAACCGTTTTTGTTGTCATATCGAAGCGCTGTTCACGAAAGTACATCAGTGACACCAGCTTTCGCAAACTTTGGGAGAGAATTGCGGCTGCCTGCAGACCTGATCACCGGAATACCACCTGACGCCCCACGCAGTATAATCGATTATGCAAATGACTTGCGGAACAAAATGAATGACATTTATGAGCACGTCAGACAGACGGGCCAGCAAACGTCTGAGAGGATGAAAACACGGTATGACCGCAAAATGAACAACAAGGGGTTTGATGAAGGTTCACTAGTGTGGTTACACAATCCAGTTCGCAGCAAAGGGAAATCTCCTAAGCTTCAAGCTAAATGGGACGGACGGAATTGTGACAAGGATCAATGACGTAACCTACCGGATACAGAAAGGTGCCAGAGGTACTCCTAAGATTGTCCATGTAGATCGACTGGCGCGTTATTATGGGGCCAATAATGCTCGGGACGAGCATGTCTTAGGAGGGGGCAGTGTTGCGCGCCACTATTAATGTCTTGTACATGGCAACACTAGTTACACTAGCGCCCCCTAGTGTCGAGTAAATGAAAGTATTGCGTGCCACTATTAATGTTTTGTACATGGCAACACTAGGTACACTAGCGCCCTCTAGTGTCGAGTAGTAGAACTAGGAGAGTCAAGATCCTTCCAGAAATTTCGGGACCGATATGTACTCGAACATTCTAGATGTCGCTACAGTAGAAGATTCTGGAAACTATCTGAGGCCCTATATAAGGCCGGTATAGACCACGACCGAGGCAGTATTGAATTGGCGATACAAGAGAATACTTCGAAGCGAAATAACGGCGAACTGTGTTTTATTATTAGTGTGATTTTAGATTGTAATTAGTGTTGTGTAATTAAAGTGTCAATTTTGGTAATTCAATCGGCAGTTTTTAATTGTCTCGAACCCCAAGCTCGTAACAATATTATATTCTTGATAAATTATATAACGATTGGTATAGCGTCTATTAAAATGAAGCGTCATTTAAATAGAATTATTTCATGGCAAGATAAAAAAAAGTGCGAGTGAGATGGATAGTATTCCATCTCGCTTGCACTATAGAAAAGGTGTCGTGACGGAAAAATCTTACACTTTTTCTCGCCTGACGAATGGGGCCGTCAAATTCGCACCGTGCGATAAAGAACTTCGTTCCAAAAACTGATTCATGAGAAAGAAAATATGAACTCACCAGCAGAAAGAAATTTATCACCCGCATTGTTGAAGTTAACGTCTCTGACAGCTTGTCTATGTCCGAAGTATGTCCGGACGCAACGCCGATCACCGTACACTTCCCATATCTGAATATCATAACCAAATATTATATTAAGCATTAAAATTCATTCAATTCAAAATATAATTAATATAAATATTAAATTGAAATTAATAATACTGATATCCTCCACGACGAATTTCGTTACGCAGCGGCCATTCTCAACGGTGACTAGCCATCTGCACAGGACGAGATTATAGTGCTGAATGTGTGTGTGTGCACAAGAACAGGTGCACTCCCTATTTCCTCACTCCTATGAGAGTGACTCTGTTGAAACAATAATCCAACACGACCGGAGAGAGACCACATGTGAAACACTGCAACTTAAACTCCGAGCTGCTACTGAGAATTTCTTGACAGAAAAACCCAGATTTCGAATGGGTGGAATGCCTCGTTACCAGTAAAAAGGGTTTCTGGGTCTCTACATTCAACAGTGTTGAGCGCTATCATATATGGCAACACTAGCTACCACTAGCGCCCTCTAGTATCGAGTAGCAGAACTAGGAGAGGCCAAAAATTCGTAACAATACGGAGCACAGTATTATTCTGCTGTTTCACACTAGTATTCCGTTTGCCTCAGTTGAGCCAACCTATTCGTTCTGCAACCATCATACAGTTGCAGTGTACTGCTGATTTACCACTATCAGCACTAGGAAACATAAAAATGTGAAGAATTCTTTCATTTGTTAAATTCCTGTTTCACCTTTCTTTTTACAAATCAACACTGGAGATTGCGCAGTGAAGAATTTCATAAGTTTTTTTATAAATTTGGAGTGACAAACTGACTTACAGGGACTTTGACCATGGACACTTGCAACCAATTCCAAACATAGAATACCGATGCGTCGTGGTGTGTTAAAAATATTTTTGTTATATAGTAATGTAATAAACTATCACACAGGTCACATGATGGTGCCATGGATATGTTATTGCCCTCAGATATTCCTGTCATTGATTAAAAATCAAATCACGTATGCGTTGTCACCCCTAAATACTAAATGGAAAGCCTCTTACCAGTAAAAAATGTCTCTGGTTCTCGTCACTTAACACTTAATACTTTGATGATGGTATTCTGTTCGGGCGAAATACTTCCTCGGTCGAACTGACCCATTTGTACTACAGACAACGCTGTAGCGTTCTGCCTCATGGACTAACATCATATGACGTAAAAATATGACGTCAGTCCGTTTTCCTTGCGATATAGTTACCTTGACCCTGCAGTCCATGCCGGCAGACAACATGAGATGCGCAGTGCTGGGGAACCAGCGCACACAAGCCACGCCTTTGGTGTGGCCCTTCCATGTATGGATGTGAGCCTGAAAATATAGAAAATGTTAAAAATGAATTAGTCTAAGAGCTGGCTACGAAAATGTGAACTGATAAGGTGTAGTAACGAATTATATATACGAACCTCTCTTTGGTAGCTTATAAGTACAGAGTGAGTACAGATATGGCCAGAAGTTGCTGAAGCGGCTATCGCGATGAAAAGGAACGTTTCGAATCTAGTTTCAAAATTAAATAACAAACTGCACCTTGTGGTTTAAATTTAAACAATTTCTTTACAAATTTGTCGACTTCTGACAGTCTTTAAGCCCCGACCTAGACTTCTGACAATAATTTTCCTAGATTCCTACAGTTAAAAACTATAACTCTACCAAATTTCAGAACTGCACCTAATCATTTTTTTCTTATTGAAAATTATTACTTGGACCGCCCACCCACGCCTTCCGCCCCAGGAGAGAGTTCTGACGGGCCTCGCTCTGTACTTATAAGCTACCAAGGAGAGGTTCGTATATATAATTCTTTACTACACCTTATCAGTTCACGTTTTTGTAGCCAGCTCTACGACTAAATGGACTAACTTTTAGAAATCATTCAAGTGATACGGAAACAATTTCAGCTAGTATAAATTAAAAAAATATAAAAGAGTACCTTAGGCAAGAAGCATTTGTCTGGTGGTGTATCACTACGCAACTGAGTCTCGCTTCTCGGAGCCTCCAGCCAAGATCGGCCTTGGTAATCCGTTTCTTTATCCACTGAAAACAATCATAAAAAGTGGATAGGAGTACAATTTAGTTACTATTTACTTTCCTGACTAATTGTCGTGATTTTTTGTTTAATAAAAAAACTACAGAATATTAGGTTGGAGACAATATCACTATTTGTTCTCGAGATATGTGTGTGTTGTAGCATGAATGGATCGGCTCGACCGAGGAAGGACCATGTTCCACAGAATACCAATGTCAAATAGCAGCTTAACACTGCTGTGTTTTGTATGGTGAGTGTAGAGAAACGGAGACGCTTTTTACTGGAAAAGAGGCATTCCATCTTAGTCCTCACGGGTGACAACGCATCTGCATCTTGATTCGCAAACGAGGATAAATGTAGATGTCTATAGGCCACAGCATCCACTTACCATCAGGTGGACTGTGTGTTTGTTTGTCACCCTATCCTATAAAAAAAAAGTTATTGTATTGCCATTGGTTCTTAATATTATCTGAAACATTTCATATTACTCAGATATGGATGTGTGTGTGTGTGTGTGTGTGTGTGTGTGTGTGTGTGTGTGCGCGCGCGTGTGTGCGTGTGTGTGTGTGTGTGCGTGTGCGTGTGTGTGTGTGTGCGTGTGTGTGTGCGTGAGTGTGTGTGTGTGTGTGTGTGTGTGTGTGTGTGTGTGTGTGTGCGTGTGCGTGTGTGTTAAATATAAAATTCCATTACATACATAAATAAATACATGAAAATAAGATTTTGGTTTATGCCTGTCTGTTGACGACGACGTCTAATATGAATTGCCAAGAATGCCGTGGGATTTCAGCTGACACCATAGAAAATAGTATTAATATGAACTATGTATATTAAAGCATAACAGTACGAGCAGTACACACGCACGCAAATACAAACGCACACACATAAACAGAAATAAGTACCATTGGACTATGGAATATATATTGGAAATTTCAAATGTCTGATCCCTTACAAACTCCAAATGGGAAAATCCTAATACCTCACAACTTCTGTTTTTAGAAACATAACAGTTTCTATAAAATTGTTCTCAACAATTCTGGTGAAAGTTATTTTTTAACTTTTTACAGTTGGACTGATAAAGTTATATATTTTTGATAAAAGTTATATAATTTTGGTTATGGTTTTGGTTAGTAATTGATCTCATTTTCTGGTTTCACCACTTTAATCACAACATAAAAGTTGTTAAGTTGAATTAAAATATACTTACAATGGAACACAGATTTCTCCTCCAATGGTTTGTCATCATCCACTTTGCCCTTTTTCTGTCTTTTTGCCAATATCTCTTCCAATTCCTTTGCTTCATCACCTTCGGGCTTCATTACCCTGAATTTAAAGTGCATCATTAATAAATTGTAAATAATAATGTGACAGCATTCGTTAATTTTTTTTTATATATGCAAGCACTTAAATTTGTTAGTTGCAATTTTGTGTGCTAATTTATGATGTGCTCGGCGGTATAAAATAACTAAACTTCAAAATACTATAAGCTCATTCCGCGTAGATTGGACCAAAAATTAATAATTTTATACTCAAGGTAGCCATAGTTAACTGTGAAATTGTGATGTCCAATACCTCAGTCTCCATGACCATGAGTGCTCTAAAGTACTCCAAACGTCGGGAATATAAAATAAGTTAAAATACGCAATATAATTAATAAAAACTAGTTTCATTTAAATGTGTAGGATAACTTCATATGGAAACCAACATAAGCTATTATATATTATTATAATACAGTTAATAATAATTAAAAATTTTGTACAACCGACTTCAATATAAATTATTAAGAATAACTCAAGTCAGACCTTGATCAATTATATGGGACCACATGTGAAGCACCAGCTTTCAAATAAAAAAAGAATCATCGAAATAGGTTCACCCAGTAAAAAGTTATAAGGTAACACATATAAAAAACATACAGTCGAATTGAATACGTAGGTGTCGTAAGCGCCGCCGATAGGGTGTGCCAAAAAGACCTCATGCTACCAATAGATGGTGGGATGACCATCCCGTTTACACCAGATGTGAAATATGCCGATGGACAATGCCAGACATCTGGTGCTATGATCGTTAATTCATGCGGAGCGTTAATAGCAAAACTTCTCGAGAGAGGAACAAAAAAGGTCCTGCTGGGTTTCTTACTGTTTCTTCCCAGAACAGAGGTTTCTTTTCAAACAAGTGGTAAAACTTAAATGACTTTTATTCAGTATTCTTGTAATCTATAATGAATAAAGATGATTCTATTCTATTAATGTGTGCAGTGGACTTTTGTGTGTTGAGAAATAAGAATTAAGAAGTATTAAAATGTATGAAACATACATATACAAAGTAATTATTGCCTTTGGTTATCATTCAATTAATAATAACCACATCTACACTCAGTACATCCTGCTGATTGACGGATGTGGCTCTGGTGACCAACTAGTAGGAACTTTATCTAAAATTGTTTAAACCGACTATCATAAACTGTAATTGACACTCCTCTCGCATTAATTGACAATTAATAAAATAACATAGTTGCAATAAAATAAATACCTCTGTTCCCCTACATATCCTCCCCAAGGCCCAAGAAATCCATTTATATCTTCAGGGTCATCATTTTTATTTCTTTTCCGATTATCCAATGGCCTTTTCTTTATTGTCTCAAATACTGTCTTACCCTCTGCCTCTACAGGTGGGGCCACCATTGCTGAAACTGTATGAAAAATTTATGATATTGAAATAGATTGTTATGAGAAAACTCTATTATGGCATTTGTCAATGCTCCTCTAAAACATGAGGAAGGACATGAAAACATGAAAGGAGTCCCACCACTGAGCCATGTTAGCAGCATAGTTAATACCTTTGATTATGGGCTGTTTTGTACAAAAGTTAATTGGTTAAGAGTTTAATATCATCTTCTTCTTCCTTTATGGCGGTTACGATGAATTCGCCAATGACATGTTACATGCGAAAAGGTTTAATTGGGACACAAACTCTCTATAAAATAACTTAAAATTAAAAATGTTGTACAACCAACTTCAATATAAATTATTAAGAATAACTCAAAAAATATTGGTCAGACCTTGATCAAATTTAAATGGGACCACATGTGAAGCACCAGCTTTCAAATAAAAAAAGAATCTTCAATTGGTACAACAGACTTCAATGTAAATAAAATGAGAACATCATCATTGTAGTCGAAGTCAATTAAATACGCATTATTAAGGATACCTCAAGAAATGCTGCTCAGATCTGGATTAAATTTAATAAAAAATTTAATCCAGAAAATCCAAAAATTTAAATAAAAAAGGAATCATCAAAATCGGTTCACCTAGAAAAAAGTTCTGAGGTGACCACACATTAAAAAAATACAATCGAATTGAGTACCATATTCTTTTTGAAGTCGGTAGAAAAACTTATAGTTTGTAGGTGTCGACTTTCCACGACCTATATCGTTAATAGACAAATATAAAATATAAAAGCAGTCCTGGTAATTTGGATATATGGTGGCCCCACTGAACCTTCATGTTGAGAGTGATGCCCAGAAAAGCAGTGGATTCAATATGGTTCTTCCCTATCTAAAAACATAATGGTATTCAGGTTGTTTTTTTATTTTTTATTTTTATAGGATAAGGGTGACAAACGAGCACACAGGCCACCTGATGGTAAGTGGTTGCTGCGGCCCATAGACATCTACATCTATCCTCTATTAAAAATCAAAATGCAGATGCGTTGTCACCCGTGAGGACTAAGATGGAATGCCTCATTTCCAGTAAAAAGGGTCTCCGGTTCTCTACACTCACCATACAAAGCACAACAGTGTAAAGCTGCTATTTTATGTTGGTATTCTGTGAGAGCGTGGTCCTTCCCTGGTCGAGCCGACCCATTCGTGCTACAACTATACTACTAATATAGCTGCAGCATGGCTCTACCATGTAATAAACTTTACCATTTGGTGTTGTAAATTTAATACATTCAGTTTTATTGCCATTTAGATGTAGACAATATACTCCTAAAATTTATAACATTTTTATTTGTGTAAAAAATGTTGAGGGTAAATTATTGAATAAAGTTACTTAATTTTTGTTAAGAGTTACTTAAATATTGAATAAAGTTATTTGTCATCCAAATATGTGTTACATTTACACAACAGTTACTTTTGCATTATGAATCATATTTTGTGTGTATTATAAAAGTTAAGATGTCACCCAGACTCTAAGGACCATTATTCTTATAACAATTACTAACAGTTAGACAGAGGGTTTATAATTTTAAAAATATGGAAATTTATAAACTAAAAAAAAGGAAAAAAACAGTATTGCGCTATTGAGTCATAGTAGTTTAGGGGTCTAAGCACTCCCTATTTAATTTCACAATATGCAAACTATTCGGGTACAATCCCTGTTGGCACCAATAAATTATTGATTGCAATTTTAATGCTGATTTAGCATATGCCCAGTGGTAAAAGAAAACTTAGAAAGGAAACCTGCACGTCTGAAAAATTTAAAAAAAAATTAAAGGCATGTGAAGCCCACCAACTTACACTGGGGCAGTGTGGTAAGCTTTTCTTTGACCTAAAACTCTCCAAGAATTGTTAGAAGACCTCTGCCTAGGAGTGGGACATATAGAGGCTGTAACTTTAAAACAAAACATACCAACGATAGCATCCCCATTTCCAGTATCGCCATCTGTTGATGGATCAACAGCATAACCATAACTTGCAAATGTTCGTCTTTGATTCTCAAACTGGAATTCACTGATATGAGCTTTCTCTACATAACCAGACAACATATTTCTATTTGCCTTCATTTGTTGTGTTTGAAACGGGTTTTCTGGTCCATAAGTGGGGGCAAATAGTTCTTCAAATTTTGGATTGTGCATAAGTTCTTGATTGTTTGAAATAAGTACTCTTGTATCATCATTATTCTAAACAAAAAGAGTTATAACATCACTATAATTTGATAAACTATTACCTATCTTTTTTAAAACATTGCAATGTTAAATTTTATGGTTAGATATATAATTAAAAGGGTTGTCTATAGACGTCCGGTACTTGATTTTAATTATGTTGTCAATTTAGGAGGCTTTTTAGGGTTAATCTTGAACCTTTTACACTGTTTTTGGATGTCGGAAATGCATTTTGAATTAATTACAATAAAAATAAATTTCACTAAAAATTGTGTATAACAAAATGCAAATATGTCTAATTTGTGTAGTATTATAAAATAGGCATTGAGTACATGATTTTAATTATGATTTCAGTTTAGGAGGTTTGTCAGGGTTAAGTTTGAACCTTTTATACTGTTTTTGGGTTTTGGAAATGTGTTTTGAATTAATTACAATAAACATAAACTTAACTAACTAAAAATTGCATATAACGAAACAGGTAACCCATAAAAGAGTTAATTACTCGGACCCAGGCAATCCATTTGTGGCTAAAAATGGGACTCATACACAATTAATTGATTTGCAGTGGAAAGCAGTCACGAGTTTTTTCAGAAAACAAAATTATAACAATTCACATTACATTGTTTCATTTACCACTATGATTACAGTAATTAGGGCAACCTGACTTTATAGATAAGATAGGTTGAATCTGTACTAAAACCAAATCAGCACTCCCCGACTCCATGAAGTCTTTTCTGCCCTGCCCTACCTGGGCAGAAAAGACGATGTTTTGAAGAAGATGTTTTGTAAAGCCATAGGTGCGGAGGGAGAGCAGCCCCTGCCCGCTGTAGCAAACAGCGGGCACCTGTGTCAGCAGTAGAGGCTGAGGCTGGTCGCCGAAAGCGGATTGAGCCGAAGCTGCGGAGGTAAGCTTTTAGTTTTAAAAATTAAAATAAAATGAAGCAAAACTAGAATTTGGAGGTTATACATTTCCATACAACATAGCTAGAAAGTATTTTTTGAATCCTGTGATTGTTTTAGTTAAGTGTATAATTTATTACATATATTTAGTTAATAATTTTCAGAATTTGAGACGATTACGATATGAAATAACTTATTTATTTCAAATTAGAATTTCAAATAAGTTTTGAAAATATGAGTTTGATTCTATTTGTTTTCAATAACTTAAAATTAGGTTATTATTACCGTAGGCGTCACAATTGGAGCAGCACAGATTTGCATCTTCTTTGCTAAAGATAAATTTGGATCTACAGGTTTTAAATGAGTCAACAAGTTTTCATTACTGTATTGTTTACTGTTGTCCGAATTGTCGTCAGCATCGTCGTCTGAGCTGCTACCATAATTTTGTATATTCAGCATTTTGCCACATATGTAATAATTTTACATAAAATCATTTAAAACACAATGGTATTCAAAATAAAAACATTATCACGACATCACGACAACAAACAACTTGACAATGGTGCAAAAAAGTACTCTGTAATCTGTATCCACAAACTATATTGTCTGTATCATAGATAAGCTAATATAAAATCGGGAACGGGAGGTGCAAATGCAATATTTGTTGACAGAACTAGGGATGATCGATGATCATCGATGTTCGACGATCATCGATGTTCGATGATCATCGATGTCAAAAATGAAAACGTCGATGTTTTAACATCCATGTTTTAAAATCGATGTTGCCACATGTCAAACATTGAAACATCGATGTCCATAAACCAATAATCGATTATTGGATACTTGCGAACACTTCGAATCTGCGAAATCAATATCAAGTAAAATTTGCAATTTTCAATAACTAGCTCAACTCTTTATCAACAGAGAAACAGATAGAAAGGTACTTCTTTGTCAAAATTACTATTTCTTCAATCAATCGGCCAAAATATTGGACTACATAACAAATGAACTAGATATATGTGAACTTCTTCCAATTTTTTAATTACTGTTTTACACTACATTGTTTATTAATTTCTTTTATTTCATTAACTATAATCCATAAACAACATGACAATTTTTTTATTCATCTAATTCTAACCTAATAAATACAAGTGCAAAAAAACATGATAATAGCCAACATCGATGTTTTGAGAAGGATGAACATCGAACATCGATGTTGAGCTATCGATGTCATTATCGATCTTTCTACAACATCGAGCATCCCTAGACAGAACGACATTTACAATTTACATAAAGTCATTTGACATTTGACATCATTTTTAATAAGATTTTTTGGCTTGGATGCTCATTGTTTAAGCCATGTCTTCATTTATTAGTGATTCACAATATGTTGATGCGTCTCTTTTCGTAATTTTTAATCATTATTTAATAAACAATAACACAGGAGCAGCAATCTGCTGCCTGTCAAGTTCCCGCCAAAACTCCTCTCTACTCTGCGTGTTGTCAGAGAGTAGGGTTGACACAGGGCCACCCGTAGAACTGAGAGGAGTAGCCATAGCGTTTTTCCTCAATACTACATTGCAGCAACAAAACTGAACAATTTTGCATTTTTGTAGGACGTTGATTCAGCTGTGCAAATATATTTAATTTAGTGAGCAGTGCGACTATTATTATATTCTCATATTATATTGACAGTGGCAAAAATATTACTCGACGAGTCCATAACAAAAGAAAGAAAAAATCATAAACTAGAGACCTCTATCAATTGGGCCAACATTTAAGAATTGAAAGTCAGGTGATGAGTCCTTGCGACAGTTGTTCAAGATCAAGAAAATAACACTGAAAATTTGAAAAAATGGCTTTACAGGCAGCAGTTAAGGGAAAATTAATCAGCGTTATTGGAGATGAGGTAGTACTTTTGAATTTTATTGTTTTTAATTGTATTTATATCAATAATGTAAATAAGAATGCAAATGTTTTGCGAAACATTTTCTAGTATTTTTGTGCCTTTGGTGGATGGGATGCTAAATAATTTATTTACGATATGATTCCAGGATACTTGCGTCGGTTTTCTTCTTGGTGGTATTGGCGAAATCAACAAAAACAGGCACCCAAATTTTATGGTCGTAGACAAAAGTAAGATTCTTGCTTGCAAATGTAATTTTTTTCGTTTTGATAATACTGAAAAGTAGTAAGTTTAACAAGAATTGAAAGCAATTTATTAATATTTATTTATATATTAAATAAAATATTAAAAAAATACTATAATATAATTTAAAATAGTCTTAGGGTATTAAGTATTGAATATAAATATTTAAAAGTAATGTATCTGGGGTTATAGTATGAATTTGCTGTTTTATGATGAAACCTGTTTTTTAAGCAACGATATATTTAATCAATCCCAACCCTAATCTATAAATTTTTACCACATTGTGAAAAGTTTATTTATACCTTTGCAATAGAACCCTGGGGATCTGGACTTTACAGTTTATAAAGGAATACTGTACCGCTTCAAAAAAAAAATGTTTCCTTGCAAGATATTGTCCAAATTGTAGAATAAATAGTTATTGGTTTCAAATTAGTAGGACCGTTAAACAGTTACCATTACTCATCTATGAGTGAGCTTTGCTATAGGGCATAGTTTGGGTATTTGACCTACATTCAGCCATTGCATTTTTCACTCACAATTATAGAGAATCAACTTTTTATTACATATAACAATCTGTCTAAAACCCCTTCATTTCTAAACCTAATCAAATTAAGGCAATCTTAAACATGTGCTCCTCTATGCACATCAGTTAATTTATATGGCACCATTTCTCAAGTTTTTTACCTACACCAATTTGGTGTGAATGAGGCAATATTGTGGGTAAACTAATGTCATATCATGATGCTAATTCCTTGATTGTTTGATAAGAATAATTTAATTCACTGTTATTTACCTAGTGTCTGGTTTTATTTCTATTTTATTTTTTAGTAAAATTTATTCAACATATTGGTCGTCATGTTGGGCAATGGTGACTGCCAGTAAATGTTTCATTCCGGCCGCGTTGGACATTGGTGACCGACAGGGCACACCTTACTTTAACTTAAGCTTACAGGCCGACGACCAGTTTTTCATTAGATTTGTGCGTACATTATGTTATAAATCGAAAAAAGGCACAACGGTGTTGATCATTGAAGCAATCTAGGCATAAATGTAGCTTTCCAGGGCAAATTGCACAAAAGGTTACATTTTTTTTGTTTTGTTGCGTGCTGTTTGCCTGCCAATAGTTTGTATGTTATTCTTGTAACATCCAAGACAATTTCTTCGTGATTGTTTAGCCTTTCCTTCTTTTCTTGAAAGCTGATGTTTCATTCGCGACTGCCTTGGTGCTTCAGTCAGTTGTGACTGGTTTTCTTTGTTTGAAGACATGAGATGGTCAAGTATCGCTCTTCTAAACTGCACAATGGAGATGTTGTTTGCTTGTACAACACCAAAGTGTTCACAACAGCGGTATTGAAAAGTAATTGGAATCCTAATTTTCGATAATATTTTACTGTCTACCTAAGTGGAGTCAAGTATGCAGACATATGGTCCAACAAATCCAATGCTGATTTCGCTTTATTATAGTCCAGAATTATCCGTGGTTTTCTTTTTTAAACACCCCTTTTATTAGTAATATTTCAAAATTTTTATTGTGACCCGCGTGGCGCATTTGAAATAACTATTCCGTTCAGGCCACGTCGAACTAATGTGTCCGTCAGTAGTATATAAGCATTATATACAAGCTAACACTATGTAATAACACCATAGGCTTATAATTATACCTTAACTCAACGTAATATAAAAAAAGTGAGTGACTTTTTTTTTAATTTTTCAAAATTCTTTGGCAACTAACGTGTTAAATCAACCCATGTGGCTGACCGTACATATTCCAAAACTCCAACACACAATCTTAAAATACAAAGATTTACATTCCTCACCTCCACACCCATATTTTCCACCGCATTGGAATAAAGGTAACAAAGGAGCATACAGTCCAACTGATGGTAAGTGGATGCTGTGGCCCATAGACATCCACATCTATCCTTGATTAAGAATCAAAATACATGTGTGTTGTCACCCCTGAGAACTAAGATGGAATGCCTCGTTTCCAGTTAAAGTTTCTACTACTAAAGCGATTAAACTTAAAGTGCACAGTGCATTTATTACTTGTATTCTCTTCAATCGTAGCATTGGTATTGTAACCTGTGTCTGTTGCGTCAGAACTGCGTCGGAAATTTATTCAAAAAATACTCTAATTTATGAGGACTCTGTTTAACTCAAATAACGAGTGTAAGAACAATTGAGAGTAAAACAATAGAATGTGGTTTTGAACTTTTGAATTTAAGTTAAGTTTAAAAGTTAATTTTTGTATTAAAAAAGTTTTAATCAGAAATATTGGACAATGCAGGTTTCATTTTAATTCAAAGTGGCCACTCCATTAGAAAAGCAACTTCATACTTTGATCCCTATTCCCTATTATTATAATATTATAATGACTGCACACATCCCATGGGTCTCTAAAGAGGTGACAGAGGGAAACTAAAGCTGAAAATGGGCAGCATCAACTTGAAACTTTATTTTATACTGCAGCAGAACAAGTCCTAACTAATATAGCGCCACGGTTCAGCAAGAAGTGACGATTAATGGGTAAACAGAGGATGTCACTTGGCAATCTCATAATAAAAAGTGCAGTTATCAGTGACCTCCACTAGATGGAAAGATAAACCCTTGAAACATGCAACAATTTAAGAAAATTGAATACTAGCATAATTGTAAATATTACCAATGCTCCCATTATCCTCTCCAACTAAGTTCTAAATGCAGACACTAGAAGTGGTTCACGATAGAATTCAAATGACGGATTCATTACCCACAAGTTTTAAGTTTCGGGGATGGTATAAAAACCTTTAGGCTACTGTTGCTTTCGACGTTGATAGATCCATGTCTTGTGAAATGTGTAGGGGAAGGTCTTTGCTAAAGAGAGACCCTGTGATGGACTGGAATAAGCGACTATAGTCTTTATGACTCATGTTATTGCTAAGCTTCAAATAATAAACTAAATCATTATCTATATTACATACCTTATAAAAAGTGAAGTACTATTCTTGAAATACTAAAAACAATTACTTGATTACACTAAGTTAGTAAATAATTTATGTGGCAATATACAAGGCTTGGCTATCCCCCAATTACACTGTCCTCTGGTCACACTACTTTCTTTCCTAACTAGTGTAACCAGGAGTTAAATAGAAGACTTTTAATTAGTGTTATTTTATATACATTATTAATCTTATGTTAAATAAAAATCATTGTATTTACGAAGCACATGCTTATTTCACTGTAGATACACCAGTAAGCGAGATTGAGGAGTGTTTCAAGAGATTCGTCAAGCGCGACGACATTGATATCATTCTTATCAACCAAAACATCGCAGAGATGGTTCGCCACGTCATCGACTCTCACACCTCGCCAGTGCCAGCAGTACTCGAAATACCCTCCAAGGATCATCCATATGATGCCAGCAAGGATTCAATCTTACGTCGTGCTAAGGTATGATAGTTAAATTAAAAACTTAGTTATAAAAGTGTCAAAAAATCTAATGACATAAAAATGCAAATATTTATATGATCACTGGTAGTTATAGATGTTCTTATCCCTGCTTTGAAAACTTTTTAAAGGTTTCTATTGACTTCAGCTAATAGAAATGGTATCACAACCTTTCTGTTCTATCTTCCTCCATTATCGGAATCATCAATTTATATAAAACTTTTTGTTTTATCCATGCATTTTAACTGTCCCGTGCTTTAATTTTTTCTCAAATATATAAGTCTTAATAGTTATCAAACAAATTTGTCACTTTTCTGTGTGGTCTCTCGAGCCGGATATTATCCTATGCCTAGAATATTCTATCCTACAGTGATAATTAAAAATTCCTTAAGATTAAAATGTCATCATCTTAATATTAGACCAGTCCACCACATAATATAAGGTTTCTCTTTTGGAGAATTAAAAATAATATTAGTTTTAAGTCAAGGGTTTGCCAATTGTAATATTGCACCATATATCTATAATAATTTAACAATGGATGGAAAAACTAAGACATGTATGAATTCATGGAATTTAGTGGTGTAATAACTACTTCAAATGTATAATTTACTAATGAATTTTCGGACCTTCGTGGTTTAGCAATGATTTGCAGCGCTGAGGGCCGAACGGAACAAGTATTTGTATCATCTACATATAATTGTTCCGAGTCTGGATGTTTGCCCTTGTGCAATTTATGTTTGTCTGTCTCCATACCATGTTTCGATACAGTACAAAGTGTGAGAGCCTAGTGTGAGGTAACGTTAAAAAAAAGACAGCTGTTTAAGGTGTAAGGTGAAAACAGTAAATATTCCCTACTGTAGAAGTGCACCATGCCCAACAATAGAATGTTTAAGTGTTGAATAAAAAAAGCATTACTGCTTATCTCATAGTCTTTTTCTGTTCCAGGGCATGTTCAATCCAGAGGATTTGGTACGCTAAAAACAATTTATTGCATGGTTCTTTACTGTACCTTTTGCAACAGACTGGCACATGTACATATGCCCCAGCCAAAAAGAAAAAGTTAACTAACATCTAATATGCCATAACTGTAATAAAATTTCATAAGTCTGTTCCTGTGTGCAATTTTTAAATTGTTTGAATTTTGAACCTAACACATTCCACTTAAAATGAAATCTTATTTTTCCGTGTTTTATATACTCTGCAACACTGTTATTGAAATGGTTAATTAGTTAATAAATTATTAAATAATGTGAAATTGAGTATGTATTAAGCATACTTATTTAAATCTTGTATAGAGTTGTTGAAACTGCATTATAATATATTATCATCAAGTATGTGTTTCATTTTACCCCTGAATTAACGATTTTTACCCCTGATTGTAATTGATTATTATATTAATTAAGTGTAACTTTGTGTTCTGCATGTTCTTGAAACAGTTAATATGAGAGTGTGTGCTATATATAGCTTATATAATATTGTGTTTTGTATATAACAAGGTAAGTTATTTTTATACTTTTCATAGATTACATTAGACTTAACTGATTATATTTTTCATTTCAGTCTATGTTTGGAGCTGAAAACTACAATGCATAATTAACTATTAATCTAGTGTATGGTATGGTATATATTATTATACATATTTTATATATTTATTTTGAATAAAAAATACTAAAATAAATTTAATTCATTTATTTACAAATATTATTAACAACTTATAATTAGTAATTCACTCAAATACGCATACATGATGTTAATTAAACTTAGATTAATACAATGACATTTTCCCATTGGTTTTCAAGTGTAAACTACCCATAATTAAAAAAAAATGAGTTAATAGAGTGTAACAAATATGCGGTCCATAACAATTTTTTAATTATCAAATTAGAACGCAAGAGGAAAACGATGTTTAGACCGAACAGTAAAATAATATTTTGGTGGGTTTTTATTATTAAAAAAAATCATTTGGCCCCGAAAAATCTTATACAGTTAAATTAACTCAATCATCGAACTCCGTGACGTCGTTTTCGGCTTTTTTGTGACCCACCCAATCCCATTTTGAGTAATGGAGTTTGGTTTTCTTGAATTTGGGATTCTTCGACGTGATACGGACGAAAACTCGCCGGCCGAAGAGTGGCTGCAGTTGCCTGAAGTTGTCGACCAGCGGCAGGTTTTGGTTGGAGAGCAGACCGCGGAAATTGTCCATCTAAAAGTCGAAAACAGTGGGCAATACATAATATGTTATTAAGGTCTTCATTATGTTTGTTTAAAAATCTACTTTGAAAACATGGATTTATATTCTACAGACATCTTTAACATATCTATAAGACAAAAATATTTTCAATTGGTGTTAGACCTTAGACCAACAAAAAGACGAAGCGATGCGTACGTTTTAAATGACATCGAAACTATGTTCCGCTTATTTGCTATGAACAACGTTATTTTAGGTGTATGTGTGCGTCCAGCAGTAGACAGAAAAAAATGTGTACGTTATTGAGTTTTAAGAAGTTGAACATGCTTTCCACGTCACTTAAATGTACTCAGCGCTCCATTTACGTATCTCCTCTGTTCATTCTCATTCTGAGTCACTGACCTCTATATATACCAGTTCGTCTGAGTGCAGACGTAAAGAACATCATTTAGAACAACTTGGCCTTAACAATTAGGCTCTAGTATGTATACAGTAATCTATGATTAGGCGCATGACAGTGACCCCCTAGTGACCAATCACTGTTCCGGTGTTCCCTCCCTGGTTCTAATGATGTCTTAGCTGTCAAGCGTCTAATTGTTTTGGTGTTAGATAGTGTAATACATAATCTAGTGCTTTAACATGATGCGGCCTGATAGTAACCATTATTTTAGGTTCAACTTGTATATTATATATTTCTGTAGTCTTTGAAAGCATGACATTTTTAGTAGATTGCAATAGTTTTTTCGTTTTCTACGAATGTAGACTACTAAAAATTACATAATTTAGACCTGACTGCATTTATTTTACGAATTGCTATGTATTTATTTATTATATAACTCTTAACGGATCAGTAAGCTGCAGTGGCAGTGAGCCGACCACATAGCTCGAAAAATCAACAATCCATGGAAAAGTTCTCGGTTCTCGAGCAGCAGCCCCATATCGGTAAATGAAATATAGTGCGGTCCCCCACTACATGGAGTGAAGAACTGGTAAAAGATGCAGGAAATCGATGGCGATGGTTGCAGGTGGCTCAGAACCGTGCTCTGTGTCATTCCTTGGGGAAGGCCTATGTTCTGCAGTGGACTTGCCGTGGTGATGACGATTATACTGGGTTATTTTGCAAAGAGCAGCCAAATTTTAAACTTAAGTTCAAATATATAAATAATGATTTACCGTTATTGCAGTTTAAGTCGAGTAAATAAGGCTTTTACTGTTATTTGAAATTAACCCTCATTGAATGTTATTTATGGGCAATAACGTTTTTACCTACTGATCGACCCTTACGAATGTGTGCGTGCGCAGTAAAATCAGTTAACGCATTTTGAACTTAAAAGATAAAACGATAATGTTTGAGATTTTTTTAATTAATTTTTCTTCATCATTTGCCTATATTACTTATTCTGAAATATCTCTACAAATTTGGCCGGTTATTGCAAAAAAGCCATGTATGTATGTTAAGATGTATTCTTTGGAAAAAATTAAGTTACCTGGAAAACGGAGATCGGCAGGTAGTCAGAGAAGATGACCCACGTGACAGCCTCAGCGCAGGGTGGGGTAGTCAGGGAGCCTTTGTAAGTGTAGAAGCGTTCCGTGTCTAAACCAGAGAGAATGGAGGAAAGCGAGAAGGTGTGGGGCAGTTGCATGCTAGTGTTGAAGTTCTCCACAGCCGACAGGTTCTTTACGATTGGTGTCAGGAGTTTGGCGTCGAATTCCACGACCTGCAAGAGTAATTAATAAAAAGTTTCATAACTACCGCAGTATATTGTAGTAGTATTTTCTTTACTATTCTAAATCAGCGCTTAACTACAATCCCACCTGATGGTAAAGGATGATGCAGCCTAAGATGGTGAAGCGCACTGACTTAACAAAAGCCTATTCACTCTTGCCTTGACGACAACCACATTGTAATCGGATGGAAAGACAGGTGCTGGGAACTTTTACACTCCTTTGCTGTACGCATGACGAACGATGAAGCAAACCGTTTGGTTCAAATACGTGCCAAGTTTACAAAGACAGTGGAGACTGGCTGAGCGCCTGGTTATCCGATGGTGAAAGAAAGAGAGAGGAATTAATTTATGCAATTCCCATATTGCATTCACACTCCGAAGTGCATCCTGTAGAAAACCTAAAGGCTGGCTACTTTCGTGTAGTGGCGGTGTAAAAGAATCCACTAACCACACATCATCCCGTGGATGTAGGTATCATCCTGATAACAAGTCAAATCTATAAACAACTACAGTTGCCAACCCGCATGCACACCTGCTAGGAGGCAATTTATGGAGGAGGCCTATGTTCAGCCATGTACTATAATAGGATGTAATGGAAAATAGGTCGCAGTTTATTGGTGTTTCACTTTTATAAAACAAATTATTGCGTCAGTATTAATTACCTGGTAGAAGAAAGCGAGCACACAGAGACCATCAGGATGTTGCAGGGCTTCGGCGAGGCTCCTGTACTTCTTGTTCCTGTGAATGATGTGCATTTCCAGTGGAAGACGCATGTCGTTGAGCGTGTGCTCAGAGCCGCGGTTGTTCTTGTCTCCCCAGTGGAAGTGGAAGCTTTCGATCTCATACTCATTGTCTAATGGACCGCCGAAGATGTAGGGGAGACGGAAGCCTTTCTTCTCTTCTTCGGAGGAATACTTTGGGATTGTCAACGCCACTGAAACATGACATTTTACTGTGCAAATATCTGTTATAATTAAAAAAAATCGTTTACTACACAGCAGGAATTTTTGAAAAAGTCTTTTAGACCTAATGATGACGCAAAATCCACCTTAGAATGCATGAACATATTCCCCAGAATGACAATGATGAGGGGAAGTGAGCTGGCGTAGGCCATTCAGGTTTCAGCCGCAGTGGAGCAGCCATAGTAGAAGGTTGTAACTCAAAAGGTGCACAACGTCGTCAGTCTACCTTCCAAGCGTGATAATTTAGGCAGTTCCTCCCTACTATAGGAAGAGTCCATGACTTACAGGCCGACGAAAAAAATAGTTCGCGTTATACATCATGTATAAGAAACATATGTGAAAAATCTATAACCGTTTCTACTTTTCGGTTTCCGTGTCAGGCCGGACCGGACTCGTGCCCCATTTGTCCTTAAGATTAAGACAGTACTGGAGGGGCACTATCAAAGCAAGGCTATTGGCCTCTGTCCATACCAACCCTCGTTAGAGCAGCTCTTCTAAACTTTATTAAAACAGTCTATAATTTATAACTGTTTCGCCATTTGTGATGTGACCAGACTATTTCGCCAGTTAAATGCGGCGTAATCGATGTAAAATTTCCAAAAATAACTTTTAATTCAATGAGTCATAGCACTGAAACGGATACGTTTTTAAAAGTATTATTACGAGTACATTACAGCGAATTTTGTCAACAGAGTTTCTTAATTGTTACAAGGATACTTAACACAAGTCTTTAACTAGGTTAAGTTAAAAGATAACTGTTGCCTGTATTCATCGAAAACATTCTTACAAGTCGCGGCACGTAATTCTAGCGCAGAACGAAACGTGGAGGGGCCGCGTACGAATTGAATTGCTCGAATGCGACTGGAGAGCCAATCAGCGTGTGCGAACGACACGCACGAGTCAATCAGCGCGGCCTATGCGCAATAACGGTCTCCGCTAGACTTTCGTGCCGCTACCTGTACCAATTACTCTATTATTTTAGTTACCCTTTTATTTTAGTTAATTTCTATATAGATGTTTAAAAACAATTGATTGTAAATAATTAAGTATAGGAGTACTTAAAATAAAAAAATGTGTTAAAACTTATTACATTATATTATTGTCGTGGTACATTATGGTGTTATCGTGTAGTGGCGGTGTAAGAATATCCACTACCTACATATCATCCCGTGAGTATCGGAAGAGGTGACAGAGGGAAACAAATCAGGGGATGGGCAGCAGCGTCTTCTTAATAACGACTAAAAATAAAAATAAACTGTGGTTACCAAGCGTAGCAACTATGTCAAATATCTGCCCCTATAATGAGGCAATCTATGGGGGAGTCCTATGTTCAGCAGTGAATTTTAATATTCTGTAACGGTAACGGTATATTATGGTAGCGCCTTGTGGTTGTCATAAGAGATTTTTAGGGTAAATGTTTAAGAGATTTCATGATAGATAACCATCTCGACTCCGTCAGCCGTTAAATATCCGGAACGTCAACGGGGAGCAACGCCTTAGATGCGAGACGTCTGATTTTGCGATTATAAATGCGCTTGCTAAAGTGTGACGATTACGTTGATGATGATGAAAATTGATGTATAGTACCTGAGTGACCATTGTTATTAATAGTCAGTGGTCCTGGAAGTGGGTTCTGATAGCCAACCAGTTCCATGGCCGGAATGGAGATAGGTATCGCCTGACGAGCTGCGATGGCGATAGGGGATTGTTGGCGACCACCGCAGGCTGGGTGTAGGACCGCCCATCGTCGCTGATCAGAGGCTCGGTAACCCCAACCAAGGACTAAGGATACTGTAAGAAATATATGAATTAGAATTCTAACACTATAAATGGATAGAAGTCCATCCGAGTAAGTACCATCCTCTTACATATTTATGCCACTAAGTAATAAATTTATCTAATATAGTTAATAATACATAATCATACCCGCACGGAACATTTGTATGGCCTACAAATAACAGTTCCGTGTCTGGATGTTTGTCGTTGTGCAATTTATGTATGTAAACTGCTCCACGATAAAGTAGAAAAGACTAATGTATGTTTTAAAACAAAAAAATAAAAGTCGATCGGTAGGTAAATCTATTCGCGCGACTTGGCAGTAAAACCGACTCGTATGCCGTGACCGCCGTGACGGCAAACGGCATGACTTTGTCATGTGTGTGCGCGTATACTATACACTTTGGTTTTATTTTATTTTACTCCATATTTCTTTATTGGTTTTCAGTAATTATAAATTAATTCTACCATCAACTATGATGTTTCACATCTGCCGGGCGTCCCGTGGCGGTCATTTTTTTTCTATTAGATTTCTGTATTTAATATTTTTCATACACTCAAATATTACAACTATTTAAATATTCAAGGCTAAAAAGTTCAAAAAGCTGTACAGAAATTCGTCGGGATACGATTTATTAAGAGAATTTATTTGATTTTATGTATGTACGAGTAGGTGCTTATCAATGAGAAAATTATTACATTTCTGTATATTAGTATTTCTATATATTATATTCAATGTGTTTACAACATTTAAAATATATAACAGCCTTCAAATTCAATACAAGCAGCTAGACACAGGTAATAAGGCACCCTCCCATTTTCAGTAAGACATATTGAGAATCTTCCAAGTACTTACAGACTAACCGTATTGCATTAACATTGACTACCTCGTAAGACTAGTGGTTATAAGAACGACTCCTGATCATGTGGTCCCAGGTTCGAATCTCGGGACGGGTCAAAATCAGTTGTTGGGTTTTTCCTTCAAGAAAGTCTCCGTAGCAGCAGGGAGTCAGAAAGTTAGGGGTGTTTAACCCCCGTGACTCGGAAAACACTTAAAACCGTTGGGCTTGCGTCTGATCTCTCTCAGGTCGTATCTAATTGTCCTGACATCAGAATATGAGAGTAAGTAAATAGAGAGCACCTGTGCTTGCGCACACACTCTTGCACTAATCTAATCTTGTCTGGCAGCAAGACTAGTCTCCGCGGAGGCTGACCGCTGTAACAGACCGAATGGTCTGAGGGACATTATCGCACTCACATTGCTTTCTGATTTTGTTGGTTTGATGATAGTTTTAGTTACACATCTTTCCACTTTTATTAAATTCACACATGCAATTTTTTTGTTATAGAATATGGGTGAGAAAAGAGCATACAGTCCACCTGATGGTAAGGAAATGCTGTGGCGCATAGACATCTAGATCTATTTTCAATTAAGAATCAAAATGCAGATGCGTTGTCACTCTTGAGTACTAAGATTGAACACCTCATTTCCGTAACAAGGGTCTCCGGTTCTCTACACTCACCTTATATTATTTTACGCCAGTCTTCTCTAAGAGCGTGGTTCTTCCTCGGTCGATACGACCCATTCGTTGTTACAACCAAAATATAGCTGCAGCATGGCTCTACCAGCTCTACCACGTAGAGCACTTTTAAACGCTTAAACGCATTTAAAAATAATCAATAGTAGGTTATTTAGTTAAAATAGCCATTTCAGTTACGCGATGTAAAAAATCAGTGTAATCTTAGCCTGCGATTTGTACCCGTACCGACGACAAAGGGTACGTGTCAAGATTTGTAATAATCTAATCAAATACTAAACGCGCGGTAATAAATCTAACAATCGGCGCTGATGTATAATTCGCCTTTGTAAGTTCACGACGATTTTATAAATTACAATGCTATTTTTGCATAGCCACCTGTCAAATTATACAAATCGATGCAAATTTGTCATTAGGTTATAATTTGTATATTATGTATTCTCAAAGTCAAATTTCAGACCGGACAGATAGGAATGTCTTTGCAAAACCTAACACTAAAAACCTTGTGACATGAATATATAAATAATTACTTTTTAAACTTATTAAATTTATGGATTAGGGTGGATTAGGGTTTTGTTTTATGCCAAGAACACATGCGTGCAAGAGGAATGCTTTTTCGCATGACATAACGCAAGCATTGTATTTACGTATAATTGGCGTTTCTTATTCAAAATGACAGTTATAACTTTTGTATTCCCTAAGGATGCATTTACTAAGTTGTTAAACCTACGATCATACGTATTTGTAAACTGGTAAACGTGTAACTGATGGTTACTTAGAGTCGCGTTGATAAATACGTAGTATTTTAATTCAGGTCAACGTTTCATATGCAGCATTATTAGTACAATGTCTGTTATTATATCTTAAACATGGTCCCCAACAACATGGTGTTATTGGATGTAATTTGAATTTCTAGCCAATATTTACTACATCAGAGAATGTGGGTTCCGCGCAACCTAAGGGTTCCGTAGAAAAGTCACCAGGGTTCCGCGAAATTATTTATTTTCTCTAGTTAAATAATTTCACACTTTTGTACAAATATTATTTCGAATTGGCGAAAAATATGTGATGAGAAGAACCCATTACTGTCATATGGATACGTAGATAGTTAGCGAGAATTATAATGTTTTAATTGCACTGTCTATGATATATTATTTGATCTGGGTTTCCACAAAATAAAATTTGGGAATTCCTGTACTACATTATTGATTATGCTTGAATTATAAGAACATGGTCTGAGAGTAAACCTTGCAAAAATACCTTAAATCCTAGTTCTAATCTTGAATATCTAATATTATAAAACAAACGGCCTTATTATGAAATGTAGTTTGTCAAATTCCATATTTAATAGACTTTAATAGACTACGTTATACGTCTCACTCATCCTCAAATTTTTTACATGTTTTTTTTATAGGATAAGGTTGATAAACGAGCACACAGTCCCCCTGATGGTAAGTAGATGATGTAGCCCATAGACACCTTGGCCACCATGGCCTTCAAAGGCCACTTATAGCGCTTACATAATTAAAAAAAACAGTCGTCTCAGTTTAACTATAGATATTTCCTTATTTTAGCTAATTGTATCTTCATTTAAATGAATGAATGAAACTAGTTTACTTTGTCTAGTTTTTTTTTTACATAAAATAAGAGTAACAAACGGATACACAGTTCACCTGATGGCAAGTGGTTACTGTTGCCCATAAACATTGGAGCATGTCATGTCGCCGAGAATAATGTGGTGAGCTTGTTTCGAACGCTGCGCGTAAGTGTGATTGGCCACGCAAACAGCAGAGGTAAATGGCGCCGCCCTGTCTCTGCTCCTCACCTCCACACCCATATTTTCCACCGCATTGGAATAAAGGTAACAAAGGAGCATACAGTCCAACTGATGGTAAGTGGATGCTGTGGCTCATAGACATCCACATATATCCTCGATTAAGAATCAAAATGTAGATGTGTTGTCACCCCTGAGGAGAATGATGGAATGCCAGTAAAAAGGGTCTCCCGTTCTCTACACATGCCATACGAAACACAGCAGCTCTAAGCTGCAATTTTACGCTGATAATGACCCATTAGTGCCACAACCATAATATAGTGGTAGCATGGCTCTACCAAGTACAAATACAAGTTATATCTTTAAAGTCCATTATAAACAACGCTTACGTTTACGATTTAATCCATACGCAATACCACCGGGAACCGATATCGGGATTCATGTTAGCTTTCTAAGGTCTAAGGTAAATTAAAAGTTTATTAACCTGAATTTTTACATTTTTAAATCTGTTAAATGTTCCATTACCACCATCAGACGGACGGATCTACACCGATTCGACGTAACAGTTCGTAAGAGTGAAATGATTAGCCAGCGTCTTCCTTTCCACCCAATTTTTACTTGAGTATCAAATCAAGAGTAACTAGCGTTTTGTTAAGCTAAGCCAGGATGCTTTTCCAGTGAACTTTATTTCCAGTTAGCATGTGGAATTGTAGCAGTGGCGGTGTAAGATTATCCACTACCCCATATCATCCCATGGGTGTTGTAAGATGCGACAGAGGGAAAATAAACAGGAGATGGGCAGCAGCCTCTTCCTTATAACGACTAAAAATAAAATTTTGCGGTTGCCAACCCGCTTGCCAAGCGTTACAACTATGGCAAATATCGCCCCGTGAGGCAATCTATGGGGGAGGCCTACGTTCAGCAGTGGATTTTAATAGGCTGTGACGGTAACGGTAACGGATTACAGTGTAACAGTAAAATGTACGCAAACCTACACTTAAGAATTCGACGTGTCCCGGAACCTGCTGTAGTCTGCACCGGCGTGACTGTGATTTCGGAATAATTGAAAATAAATAATAGATATGCAGGTGTTTTCGCGATTCCGTCTGTGAAAGTCAATATCATCAAATCCGCGGTATAATAACTTTACTTATGTTATTGACGGCTCCGTAGCGCAGTGGCTTAACATTCGCGGCGTTCGTTCGTAACAGGTCTGCGGGTTCGTAACACTTCTTTGTATACAAATAACTACCTATAAATAACTGCACCGGATCTAGATACGTGTCTTTTTGCAATTTGTGTATGTAAACCGCATTCCTCGATACAGGTCGAAACCCTACTGTGGGAGTAACTTTTTTAAGAAAGATAGTCAAAAGAAAATAGGTAAGCATATTCATAAATTCATACCTACTGCTTCTTTTATTTAGTATAATCAGTAATCGTTATTAAAAGATCGTATTCTAACAGTACCACAGAATAAATAGTTGTGCTAACAATACTTTGAGATATTAAAAGAACTAGCTGACTTGTCATAAATTTTATCAACATTAATAATAGATAAGTTCGTGACGTTCTGCGTATATATGTACTGCCGATTTTCTAACTTCAATTATCGCATATGATATATTCATTAACACAGATGAAAATCGTAAACATCGCCGACCTTTGCGTGAATAGTTGGACCTACATTTTAAGGTTAGAATTGCAAATTCGTGCCTGCATACTATTATAAGTTTTTTTTTTGTAAATATTACGTATCCTACATCTATTTATTTCACGTAGCGTGTTAACTTTATTTCGTTGGTGTTGCCACGCATCATTGACTGCGTCTTTGATTTCGTGATTCGAAACCCACGTCGCGTCAAAAATCAGTAAATGGATTTTTCTGTCAATAAATTCTCAGTAACAGGCAAGACCGAAGGGGATACCTAAGACTGAAGAGTCAAAGAAAAGTCAGGAAGTCGGCGGTGGTTTACTGTTGGGCCCGTGCCTCGGAAAGCACGTAAAGCCGTAGGTCCTGCGCCTGATCTCTCTCTGTTCGTGTCGGATCGCCGTCCCATTGGACTATGAGAGTTAGGGAATAGATAGTGCACCTGCGTTTGCGTACACATTCGTGCACTATAATCATGTTCAACGTTGAAACTGGTCGTTGTGACAGAAATTCAGTCTGTACGAAATTACGTAAAATCAGTTCAGTAGAGCAGCATTTGAGGGCTTAGATGGAATGCCTCGTTAAGTAGTAAAAGGGTCTCCGGTTCACATCGCTCACCATAAGAAACCTGCCCTATATTTTTGAACAGTTTCAGTGGTGCCGACGGGAATAAAACTCGCAATGTTCGTGTTTTATAAAAATTTGGGCAAGGGAAAATATTTGAGCTAACAGAGCTCTTGAACTGAGTAAGATCTGTGCCCAGCAACTTGCTGTTCATGACCGCAGTAATTAATATACATTTTTTTTAACAAGGGATGGTTGTACAATTTAAAAAGTACATTCAATTAAATAAAAATTACGTTTTTTATTATAGAATAAGCGTAACAAACGAGCACACAGTCCACCTGATGGTAAGTGGTTGCTGTGGCCCGTAGACATCTACATCTATTTTCGTTTGCGAATTAAAATGTAGATACGTTGTCAGCCGTGAGGACTAAGATAGAATGCCTCTTTTCCAGTAAAAAGGGTCTCCGGTTCTCTACACTCACCATACGAAACACAGCAGCATGAAGCTGCTATTTTGCGCTGGTATTCTGTGAGAGCGTGGTCCTTCCCCGGTCGAGCCGACACATTCGTGCTACAAATATACTATTAATATAGCTGCAGCATGGCTCTACCACGTATAAAAATATACGTATTTTTGGTTTCGAGAATTTATTAAAAATCAACAACAATAACAAGCTTAAATTAAACTATATTAGAAAGTAGAATTTAGATACACAATAATTTGATTAATTTTTCGTTAGATGGTCTTGCGGTTAAATTGAGAAAATTTCAAAAACATCTAAATATTTATAGGTACTTAAATATTAATTATTGATTTTCTGTGGAAAATAAATAAAATTTCGCAGCATTCTTCACTTGATAGTAATTAGTATTGTTTAAGAAACGACCGTCTGATTGTTTAGTCGGATGTTTTCGCGATCCGTTGTTCGGTTAAACGTAGAAAATGCCAAGGTATTCGAATCAAACGCGTATCTTTTGAAATCACCATTTAGGGATTAGACTATTTTTTAATTATCTTTACGCTTTTTCTAGAATGTTGTAGACAGAAATAGATAATTATAACAGTAATAGAATTCTCAGATCTGTTAATATTCAAACTATTTGTACCTACTTACATATTATATGCAATAATACTAAAGACGCGACATCTGAGTAGGTTAAAGGTTTTATTTTTTATTAAGAATAAAGCAATATTTATCCAGTATGATTAAATATAGATTAAAATTGTGATTTATAGACACAAAACTACTTAATTGGTTGTTATTATAAACAAATTTTCAAGAATGTACGTTCGAAATTTCTTGAAAATTTCTTTATTGAATTTTATTTTTAAAAAGGCTTTATCAGAAAACATAAATGATTTTTATTGGATTTAAAATTCATTAATAAATATTTAACAGAAAACATGTTTACTTTTTAAAACTTTATTAGGTATTGATTTTTTAATAGTGGGTTAAATTTTTTAAATACTGAAAATACTATAATTTGTTAATTGTTGTTTTTAATTCTTATAATTTAACGGATTTATGCGAATATTTAGATTTTTTAATGATTTATATTGACAATCACATACTTATTTCTCTTTGTACTTGTTTAACATTAATTTACTTGATTTTATATAAAATATGTCTATAAAGATTTATTAATCAATCTGTACTAAAATTAAAAATTGTAATTGTAGTGAACTTAAAATTTAAAAATAATATTAAAAATTAAAACTTACCATTTACCGCCAAAATTGCTAAGACAGATGAGATAATATTCTTCATGGTGGTTATATATTTTTTTAATTAAATATAATAAAATAATTTGATTGGAGAATGCTTATGCTTCCTGCTCCAGTGCTCGCGGTTTATATACTACACATCGACATCTTGCACGTCGCGATTTCAATGGCCTAACGCGTCATCAACGTGAGAACTAACCCTAAAGTGTCGATGGATACAAAATGCAGTTACTATTTTAACCGACTCCAAAAAGGAAGAGGTTCTCAAATCGAGTGTATTTATTTGTATGTTAGACGATATTTTCACAGATTGTAAACCAATTTGGATTATTACTCTTTTATTAAATAGGTTATACTTCAAGGATGGTCCCATATAAATTTGGAGAAAAAAATTGCACACCTAAGGGTACCTTTTTTAGTAATTTGTAGTCGGTTTTTATTTCTCGTTAAAAGTTATAATTATTTAATGAGGAACCCAGCTAGGGTCTCGGTAAGTATCGCAGGCGATTTGATGATATTCTTTTACATGATTTTAATCACTGTGGCAATTTCAGCTAACAATTAGACATTAAATACGTAGGACATAATACTACATTGCAACAAGTTTATGCAAAAATATAGAAGCACTTATAGTAACTTACCCTTGTCTAATACTTTAGATCAAATATATGCCTTGCATGCAGGGTTACAGACAAGGGGACAATAGAACACGTCACCCGAAAAACGAACTAAATATTTTTTCTTATTTAACCTACGTTTCCCCGGTATTTAGTAGTGAAGCCCATAAGTCAAATGGCTTTCGTATTACTCGGCAAAAAATTAGTATGATTTGATTTGGTGATTCCGAAAATAATTTACCTAATATGAGTGCCTGTATCCAAAAGTGGACTGATTAACGGGTAATGAAAATGTATGGTTGCCTAAGGTAAAATAAAGTGATGATTTAGAACTTCACAACATTAAGAATATTTGTGCTAAACTAGCCCATGTTTGTAAGACAATTCGCTAAGTAGCGTAGAAAAATTTTTAGAATCGGAAGTTTTTTAACATCCCTTGTTTTCTAAGACTACACCTACTCCTTTGTTGGACGATAAGTTTAAGTAATTTCATCAAAATTTAAGTTCATTATTCCTTTATAATTTATCTTAGTTTTGACGGGGTCTAAACGACCAATATCATACGAACAGTTACATTTCATCTATTCAGTAGTTTTAGTGTTGAGGGCTGAACGCCAAGCTGACCAAATTCTCGAAACAATAGATGATAACATAGCATATTATAACTCACTGAGATGATATAAGTTATAGAGTCACTCTCCAAACATTGCCCATTGATTAGAATCATAATAAATAATATCACTAGCTATTAAATTAAAAACATCTGTGGTCACCATCACGTCATGTAATTATTTCTTTCTTTGAACCATTTACAAAACACTATCATTAGGATCAGACAGGTCGGTCTACATATAGTAGTTTCGAAGATCTTTAATAATTCTTTACGATTGTACCTATCAATACCGACGATGGTCGAGTGAAGAAAGTTGAAGTTCCTATTAATAGTAAAGTACTTAATTTTAGTGTACGGGTAATTTAAGTAAACTTATAAAGTTGTCAAACTATGTTATTACTATTATGTCAGTCAGCTGTTTTATGGCTATAACACAAATGGGTCGACTCGACCAGGAAAGGACTACGCTCTCACAGAATACCAGCGTAAAATAGCAGCTGAATACTGCTGTGTTTCGTATGGTAAGTGTAGAGAACTGGAAACCCTTTTTATTGGAAACGAGGCATTATTTCTATGTCCCACATGGTGACAATGCGTCTACATTTTGATATCTTATTCAAGGATGGATTTAGATATCTATGGGCTATGCTTGTTTGTCACTCTAACTCTATAAAAGAAAGGTCACAGCGTTGACAAATCTGTCTCAACCAGAGCGTTTCTAGAACCTAGAACCTAGAGCTTAGTGTTCTTAATATTTCATAAGAAAATGTTGTAATACACCATTTATCGATCATGTATTTGAGACAGAGTTGAGAAGTTTAAAAAAAAACGGCATATTTATAAGTGGACCGAAAATTGTGGCCTCCAGAGCGTTTCCAGAATTAAAGGAACTTTATTAGCTTACTATTTTTAATATTTCATTACTAATGTCATCGTACACCCTTCTACCACTTTTATTTTTTCAACAGAAGAGCGGGCAAACGAGCATGCGGCTCACCTGTTGGTAAGTGACTACCGCCGCTCATGAACAACTGCAACACCAGGGGAATTGCAGGTGCGTTGCCGGCCTTTTAGAAAGGAGTAAACTCTTTTCTTGAAGGTTCCTAAGTCGTGTCGGTTTTCGAAAAATCGCCGGTGGTAAACAATGCCAAAAAGATGTCGTACGAGTTAGTTACGAGTAAGTTAAACCCACAGTGGTGGACCGCTAAGATGCTGTGGATGGTATCGTGAGTTTTGTCGCGATTTGGGTTTGAGTAAATAAATTTGGCGGCTGGAATTAGTCCGAACAATTCCTCAGAGCACTTTTCGTAGTAAATTTGCTGCTCTTGATGCGGTCAAGTGGAAGGAGCTGATACTAGGAAGCCCCGGCGCCATATTCCATGCGAGGCCGAACTTGCGCCTTGTAATGTTGCAAGCGCTGTGCCGGTATGTAATACTGTCCAGCTCTGCTGAGCACGCCAAGCATTTTAGAGGCCAACTTAGACTTCCTTCATAATTATATACTTATTTTCTTTTAATTTAAGACAGAGCTGAGGAGTTTTAACACCGACCAATTTAACTATGTAACTACAAGTTTCAGGTTAGCTTTAAATAGTATGATATGATTACTTCTTCTAACTGTCGAGAAATTGGACCGAGTTGTGCACAAAGTGGCCAAAATTGTGATCAGAGGTTCTTTTTTCATGACTTCTGAACATTAAGAAGTAATCCCAAAAACTACATAATTTTTTTTTAAATTTCCTTTTTTAATATGATATACAAAACATGATATAATAGGGCTTCTGCCACAAAAAACATATCCTTTACATATATGTTAGAAATTCGAATAGCTTTTTGTTTTTGTGGTTTGAAATATTTCTACACAACACTCCAATCCAAAGTCCATGCCGTAAGAGGATCAATGGTCCTTCCTTATCATGTGAGTATGACAAAATTGACTACAATAATAGTTAAAATTACCAGTTACCAGGACTGCTTTTATATTTTATGTTTGTCTATTAACGATATAGGTTGTGGAAAGTCGACACCTACATACTATAAGCTTTTCTACCGACTTCAAAAAGGAGACGGTACTCAATTCGACTGTATGTTTTTTTTATGTGTCATTTGATTTGTTATTTGATTACCTCATAACTTTTTTCTTGGTGAACCGATTTCGATGTTTTTAACTATACTATTAATATAACTGTAACATGGTTCTACCACGTACGAAACCGTTTACCGAAAGTGTAATATTTTTATACCCACGTCCGATCCAGATTCAAAATTTCATCTTCTGTCATTCATTAATCACAGTTTTCTGAGAAACATAGTCCTCTGTCATAGATTGCCTCATAGGGCGAATATTTGCGCTACGCTTGACAAGCGTGCTTGTTGTCAAAGTTTTTTTTATTTTTTTGAGCTGTCAGTAAGATGCTGTTGTCCTGTCCTGTTTGATTTCCTTCTGCCACCTCTTACGCCGCCCACAGGAAGATGCGGGATAGTGGATTTTCTTATGCCATCACCATACGGAGGTTTGATATGCAATTTACAACTTGTTTTAGGGCCATGGAAGCTCATCGTCTTAGGTGAGCTCGCTGTTAATTTCACAAATGCATCCACCGACACAAATGAAAACTTAAATTTGCAATTTTTTTTTATATGATAAGGGTGACAAACGAGCACACAGTCCACCTGATGGTAAGTGGTTGCTGCGGCCCATAGACATCTACATCTATCCTCTATTACAAATCAAAATGCAGATGCGTTGTCACCCGTGAGGACTAAGATGGAATGCCTCATTTCCAGTAAAAAGGGCCTCCGGTCACCTGCACTCACCAAGCGAAACGCAGAGGTAAACCTCTACTTCACGCTGGTATTCTGTGAGGTCGTGGTACCACCCCGGTTCGAACCGGCCCATCCGTGCGACAGCAAAAGCCGCCACGTGGCTCTACCACTGTTAAATTAAATATAATACAATTTAATTTTTTCCATAGTGACCAAGATCAGACATGCCTTCTAGCTGTTTCGACCAAGGTATGTAGTCACTGGTTACACGCTTTACCGTCAAGTAATCTCTGCACATTACTTGATGGGGAAAGCCTGCGCATCGCCGTAGCAATCCAACTAGGAGCAGCGATTCGTCAACCCTATCAATGCCCCTGTGGCAGTAGCGTCGTCAAGTTTGGGTTCCACGGATTTTCATGTAAGAAAATGCCGGTAGGTTTTAACGGCACGATTCTTTGAACGATGTCATCCGAAGGGCTCTTGTCTCTATAAATGTTCCTTCGGTTTTAGAGCCTTGTGTAATATTTAGAGACGACGGAAGGAGGCCCGACGGTATGACATTGGTCCCTTAGGGGAGAGGTACAGCCCTAGTGTGGGGTGCTACTTGCGTAGACACTTTTGCGGCCTCTCATCTCAGGGGTACCTCGATTAGACCCGGGGCGGCATCAGAGGCAGCTGAACTGAGTCAGTGGCGCAAATATGATTGTCTGAGAGATGACTACATATTTGTGCCATTTGCTGTAGAGATTATCGATCCGTGGGGTCCACGTGCAATGAAGTTCCTAAAGGAATCCTATCCGCGGCTGGTCGTTGCTGCTGGTGATAAGAGGGCTGGATCTTTTCTTGCTCAAAGGCTAAGTATAGCTATTCAGCGAGGAAACGCAGCCAGCGTTCTTGGCACCATACCACGGGGAGTAGGACTGTATGATAATTTTTTTTTTCTTTAAAAATTTAAATTAAGTTACTAGTTTTAGTTTCTTTTAATTATAGTTTTTAACATTGTATATAATAAAATATACAATATTATTATATATTATGTTATGTAAA